GTGGCTGCCCCCCTTGCCTTTTGCTAGGGGGGCAGGGGGGAGGGGCAGAAGTGCCCTTTTAGTTATACAAAAAAACGTGATAAATCACATTTACAACGATGGTTTTTGTAGGGGAGGTCGCCGAAATTTTTCGTGTTAGAAAAAAAATTTCGGAAGATTTTGAAGTTTTGCGTTATAGAGGTGCCCTTGGTGTGGGTCCGCCCCCCTTTGCCTTATGATCGTTCCGGCGTCCCTGGACATATATATTAAACATGTGCGTCTCATTGAATATTAGCGTGTTAATGTTTATGGAAGTAATTCACTAAAACATAACCAAGAGAATATATATTTTCAAGACCAAGTGGAATCTGTTCAATTACACGCTGCTTTATTACTACGCGTATAAATTAATGCAACGAGAAAGCATTGAAGACATATAGCATGAATCATATAATATTTCCAAGACCAAGTGCCGACAAGTGGAATCTGTTGAGTTACTTTTAATAGACCCATTGCACTGACGTCACAAATCCTTATACCGAGTGTCCTCCAGATGCTTCCTAACAGTATCTGTTCATGTACAACAACCACATACAGCGCAAAAATTAACCATTTTAATACAAAATTATTATAAAATTTGCTTTGTTTAGAATAGTTAGATTATACATATATTGCTAATCTGTCCTCCAAATGCATCGTCACCGGCGATATGACGTCATGTGCAATGGGTATATAGTGCGCGTATAAACAGAAACGACAAAGCACTGCTAGGCGCATTTACCACATTATAATATTATACACAGTATTAAACTAAGAAACCAAAACTAATCTACTAGTCTGTAGTGTGGCAAGTCAAAGCACATGGGATCGGGTGGATAGAACACGTGGAATCGGGTGGATGTGTACTAGCTGCGCACAACAACTGAGCACGACCACAATGCAACGCGCTAGAAAAATTTACTGAACAGACGCCTCTCTGCACAAATTAGGCTGCTGATTCGCTCGCTCGCTTCAGACTTCCTCGCTCCGTAGCAATTAATGCACCAACGAGTTCTGCTATACAGTGTATAAGCTGTTGCATTATCGATATATCGATATATATATATATATATATATATATATATATATATATATATATATATATATATATATATATATCATCAATAGATCGATAAAGAACAACAATACATCGATAAATGTCGGGGTTTTTATAACTATCGAATATTCAATGTTGCAAAGATATACCAAAAAATACCGATTTACATTCGGTGTTTTCGGTATTTTCTTCAACAACAGATGAACAGTACTAAAAGTGGTAATTCTATCGTGTGTAGATGTTTTTGCGATGCGGAATAACGCTTAAATCCAAACGCAACTGGGTGAATGAATAGACAACTTGCATGTTAGACTAATGTTTTATTTAGGCAAAAAAAAAGTAAATTCCCGTAAAGAACTTATTAAAATCAGTAAAATTGCAAAATTTGTTTACGAAATGTTGTAAAATACAGAAAATATAGCCTTGCGAAGTTTGCATATTTTCAGTATGTTTGTATTACTGTACGTATGGAAATTGTTACCATTTTTGAGCCGAAAATGTAACAATTTCGGCACGTACTGTAATATGAATATACTGAGAATATGCAAACCTCGCAAGGCTATATTTTCTGCATTTTACAACATTTCGCAACCAAATTTTTCCATTTTACTAATTTCATTATTGTGTTTTATTCCCTTCGCTTTACTTAGATTAAAATTTAGTCTAACATGCAAGTTGTCCATTGAATCAACTGAATTTCAACTGAATTTAAGCTTTAAGAAGTTTCAAAACAGCGCTTTTACTACGTACTGTTGTTTGTTGCGGTTTCTATCACAGTGGTTTCTATTCATATGTTATTGAAATGTTTGCGAAAATTAAGTTGAATATTTTCGGTACTTTTTGGAATGGAAACATATTGATATAACGCTATTATCAGTACTATTTTTTCGACATCAATATTCTAAGAGCTGCCATGCACTGGTTCTATTTGGGATGACTTGTTTAATAAAGCTTTTAATCACGGCTTTGCCGCTTTGATAAACATACAAAATGACATTTCGAAGTTGAATTAGCTTAGTTTGATTCCAGCAAGAGTGCAAAGTTCATTCAAACTATCTTTTATTGCCAGGAATATATTTTCGTAACGCGAATTATCCCAGCTCATATGAACAGCACCTAATTCGGTATTTTTTCAACACTGTAACAGCATAATCCAGTGTTCTTTGGAGATCGACGTTTCGCCCTCATCATGTTCAAATGGTCGCGCTTCATGTATTTCTGGGCGTGACATATTTATCGTTCGTCACCCTTCATTGCTCATGACGTCATATCCTGAACGGTTTTATTTCTCGCGCCACCGCGCTTCGCCGACCTCGAGAAATCTTCCCAAAATTTGATTTCTTTTCAAAACGCGCTAAAGACGACATTAACAGCAAGAAAAATATTGGCAAAGCGAAAACAAGCCTCCCTTTTGGGGAGCGCTGCCTTGTTTCGCGGAGGAATGCAATGTATTACAGATTTTCCAACTTTTCTGGGAGCATAAAAAGTGGAATATTTTATCTGATTGTTTTGTCCTTATTGGCAGGTTGGTGTAACATTTTTGCCGTTTTGTTTTCGTCGTATTTTTATGCCATACCCAACCTTATTTTTCTATAAAGTTTTAGAAGTTTGCTCGGCGAATGGAAGTTTTGTTTATCGAAGGATTTATGTTTGTCGGTTTGGAACCAAAACTGTTCGCTTTGCTGGGCATGTCTCAATTAGAGAAGCCGGCCGTGAAATTGGAATAGTGAAGGATTTCACGCGTGATTTGCAAGGAAATTTTTCACAACGGTTTTGTTTGGTGCTTTGTTGTGCCAGAAAGAGGTGCAGAGCGAGTGTTTTGCCGAAGAGAACGTGTAAGGAATATAGAAGAGGATTGAGAGCAAGTGAGAAGAATGGCTTCTCGAGATTTGGAACAAGTTTAAAACAGTTGTCCCAAAAGCAATATAGTGAGTTAAAAGGTGAGAGTTTCATTTGATTATTTTTTTGTGGAATCACTGAATACTATCATTAAATACAAAACAAAGGTAACTCCGAATCGAATAAAAAAGAGCAAGACTATTTCAATATTACGACTATTTTTCAGTCATCATCAAAATTCTGATGATGACTAAACATTGAGATAAATGTTAAAAAATACTGTCCTAATTTGGAGATATCGTATAGTAATTTATTCAATAGTAATTTGACCACGCACGTACATAATGTGCTTCATATTTTTATTATTTTGAAACAAAAATAGCAGGAATCCCACAATACAGACAATAAGACGACTTTATAAAAACTCGGCCTTCATTATTTCAATTGAAAATTGGAACATGCACTATATATGATTAATGATCAGCAGATTTTTAGATCAATGTGTTAGATTTGTCGATCAATGTTGTGGATATAAAGGGTTCGAGTTTGGAATTAAAATATCACAAAGCGCATGACTTTGTATGTCGCCCTGCATTATTATTACACTAAATGCGGTGTATTTGATTTCTGTGCCCATGTGCAACAACATTTTACGCAAATTATTCTGTTCGAGTTGTTCATTGGTTTTTAATCTAAACAATATTTTATTGCGCGAATATTAAGTACAATATACACATATTGAGAATTCATTCAGCTCAAAGGCTCAAGTTTTTATGAGCGACAAATGAACTTTTCTTAACGTGATGTTATGAACTCTTCTAGTTAGACACGATATTGTTCTTAATAACTCTTGTCAGCTTTTTAGCTATGAAACTATAATTCATGTGCTTTTTTAAATTGATAAAGATTTCTTAATAATATGATGTTCATTTTGGGCGTCTGCATGTGTTTACATGGCATATCTTGGCAAAGTTAGAGTGCAGTATCAGCATATTTTATTTACATGCAATTGGCATACAATTTAGGAAACCACTGTGTACTACTATATTTATAGTCTACTGTATGTAAAGTCAAAGTCCCTAACAAAACGAGAAAGTATTATTTCATTCAAAAAGGAGGTTCTTATATCGAGCATCTATAAACTATGAAAAGTCTCCGCCTAATATAGTTTCCGCTTAAAATCAGGCCGTTTACATCAGATTTTACTTTCCGGCATTTTGAATTTTTTCGACTGGAAATATAATTAACTCGAAACTTTTGTGCAGGTAACAATGTAAGCAAGCGTGCAGTGCGCTGACAAAATAGCTTTATTTAACATTCGCGCAAAGCTTTTGTAATTTAAACGAAAGTCCTTTCATTTTCTATAATGGGCTTTTCAGTTCCATTCGAGCATTAGCATGCTTAGAAAAAGACTTCGGACTTAAAATGTTAGTTAATTCGATTTATTTCAAGCAATATAAACGGAAATTCAATCTTGTTCTAGTTGCAGATTATATCTTATGCGGCAGGTACCTGCGCGAAGAACACTGATCCTATAATGCCTTGATTTTTTAAATTTGAATGTTTCGCTTCAAATACTGAGCCAAAATTGATTACATGTGGCAAATTTTTACATCGCGTCTTGGCGATAAGCAGAAAATAGGATTTTACAGAGCCATAAAGTGCCATTTTAAGTGCCATAAATTTTGAAAATGTTTTTGTTATTGTTCATTCAAGCGCAAACTGTTTCGGTCGCTTTCGAAGTTTGTTTTTATAGACATTTAAAAACATTTAACGCTGGATGAAGTAATACAACTGTTCTACTTTAGACTTTTGTCACTGTATACAAAAATACGCTTTTAAATTCCTAATACAAGTGTCAGTTGGACATCTAATTAACATAATTTCTGCATTGCTAATTTTCTATAATTAGGAAGACAATTACTATTCCAATCTTTCTACCAGTTTTCATTACCGTATATTACTTTTCTTTAATAAGAATAATAAAAGTCATAGTTTTCAAATTTAATCAGCTTTAAAGAAAAACTAACGGCCCCAAAATTTAGGAAAATTTCAAAAATATATAATATACAGCTCTGTAGTAATAACGTTGGTTCAATGTTGTTACAAATATAAGCATATATCACCACTGCTTGTGATAAATTAATTGTACATTTTTATATGAATTTTCAACCTGTTTCTCAACTTTTAGTCGAGAACTTTTCCACAAAACATGCTGAAAATAAAGAGAGTGAAAACCTGGCTCAAAAAGCTAGCTTCATCTACGCAGAAAAGAAGCGTTTGAGAAAGCGATCCATATCGGATTCTTCAGAAAGTCAGGCAGGCGGCGCAAACGCGAAAACACGAAAAGGAAGATTAACAAGAATTAGATTTATTAAAGTGAAAGAAATTCATCCAGATGCCCCCGAGCCACGTGTGATTCATAAACACGACGAAAATGAACAGAGAAAATTTGAACCACCAAAGACGGACGTCAATAAAATTAAGCCTGAAGGTATTTTACGTCATTGCCATAATTCAAAATAGCACTTAGAATAGGACTCTTAGAGTCTATAATAGATGGGAGAATAGGACTCTTAGAGTCTATAATAGATGGGACTCCTAGGATGTATATTAGTTGGGACTCCAAGAGTCTATATAGTAAGCTGGTGTTACCAATGGATAATTAAAATCCTATTTGTTGACTTATAGTGCTATGACGGAACAAATATATAATATTAATTATATCCCGCAGACGTTTAATTTAAAACTGTTTGTGTCAAGTGGTCCACACAACTATATCCATCAGATAATTATGCCATTCTTGAATGGTTCATTTCTAACGTTTTTTGTTTATTTTTTAGGTCATAACGCAACCATTCTCACCAAGATCATCAATGATGTTAATCGCATCCTCAGCATATTGGATAAAAAAACGAAGCTCACAGGTTCTCCAAAAAGACGGCATGACACTACAGTCGTTAACAAAACTAGTGTCCCGCAAAAGCAGATGGAAATGCCAGATGCCAAAAATTATAATGAAGGTCATCCAAAAAAGAAGAACCACCAAAGAATTCTGGAAACTTTCTTTGGTGCCAATTCTGGTGGTGATGGTGATTTTGATAATGATGATGGTGGTATTGGTGGTGATGGTGGCATTGCTGGAGGCAGTGGTGATAATTCCCAAGAGACAAATGCAGAAAGAAAACAGTCTGCAGATGAAGGTTTGACTGATTTGGAAGATGATATGGAAAGTGAAGTCAGCACTCTGCTTGCTCAACTTGGATTTGATTTTTCTGGTGATTCTTATAAGCATAGTGAATCGCCAAATATGCCCCTCCCCAAAGACGATATGAGTGATGCAATTGCTCATCCAGAGCGTAAAAATAAAGAGCCAAGTACCGACAATTACAAAGAAACGGCCTCAGATGCCGATGAAGATGTTCTTGATATGATTACAAACATTCTGCAAGATCACTCTTCTTCGACGACAACGCCTTTTGATTCACAGGCAGAGGAAAATGGCGAGAAGGTCAACTATGATAAAGACAACAATAACAATGGTTCTGTAAATGATACATACTCTGTACCATTGACATCAAATATAGCAAAAGATGCTGAGATCGCGAGTGAAAAACCCAGCTTTAATTCCCCTGGTGATAGATTTTCTCAAACAAATGTTAATAAGAATGGATCTCTGCTAAAGTATGTAAACTCTACTAGAGATAAGACTAGTAATGATTTAATTCTTAATACAAGCAATGAATCTCAAGTTTTAGTATCAAACCAAGTTTCAGAAGAAAATTCAAAATCCAGTTTAAATCAGGTCGAACGTGAACCAGTTAATCAGATTGGACATGAAAACAAACTTTTAGATCTCGCAAGAAATGCCAGTAATACGATACCTTCTTTGAAACAAACCGACCACCAAACAATGAATGGAGGTTTTGATAGCAAGTCGTACAGTATGAAGCAGTCAAGACCAGATAAAGTTTTAGCAATCTCACATGAAACGAGTGAGCTAAGGCAGAAATCTCAAGGACAAAATGAAAGCAGTGTGGAAAGTGAAAGTAGAAGGAAAGGTTCGGCTGAAATGTCAAGCGGGAACGACACAGAGTTCGTTCTGAATTTTCAAACGAGCCCAACGCCTAGTTCCCAGCTCCTTCAATCTTTTCCAGGGGCGGTCTCTTACAATGTTAAGCTAACTAATGAAGAGTCGCCTCCTGGAAAGCGGGCGAAGTTGAGACCCGCAAACCTGACAAATATGGCTGCCAATGCTTTCAAACAATCTGGAATAGCTAAAAACTTAAATCACCCAAGTACTTTCTCCGCGATGAGTATAATAGAAAATAAGAAGAATTTGGTGTTGAACAAAGGACAAACAATGAGTCAAAGAATTGTTGAAGTTGGACAAGCGGCGATTGAGGCGGGCAAGAATATGATATTAGCCCAAGAATCTCATGTGGATAAGGAAAAAATCTACGATATTGTTGGGACGCGAAACGTCACTTCAGTCGGTAGATACTTGATCACCATTGGCGAGGAATTACTTAGCAGAGGAAAGACATTAAGTTCAAAGAAAATTGCTCCTTCCAAGATTCTATCCAAGAACAAGGGTAAACCAAATTCAGAAATGGAATCGAAAAATATAACTGCTTCTGCATCTTTTAGTCACAAAACTAAGGGGAATGAAACAGATTCAAGGGATGAAATAAAAATTGTTTCGAAATTGCATAGTTCGGATTCCGATAGGCTGCAATGCAAAATTGGGGCTGTCCGTGATAATGCTTCTTTGCGTGGTAAGGTGCGGGCTGGTTTGTTTATCCCCACTGGCTATGTACAGGATCCAACAGAGTGTGGAAGGCGATGTTGTGATAATGCAAAATGCGATATGGCTCTAGTGGTTAATGATGAGTGTTACACAGTGCAATGTTTTCATTGGACACTTTGCCAAGTTGTGCCTCGTCGAGGATCATCGCAATTCAGATCAGCGATAGTTAGCATAAAACGATTGCATTACCTCAACGACTCAAACACAATTGTAAGACACGATTTACAAAATGTTACCAGACCAATTAATGAAAGTAAATTAAAGAAAATCTCTAGTTCAGGGCAAAGCATCAATTTCCAAAATCGTTTCGCTCCTAGACTGAACCCAGAAGAGGAAGCTCAAAGGACATTGAACACCGACGATGCAAACCCATTCAAAATTCCATCTACGCGCAGGTATAAATCGGGAAGCTCAACGATATCCACAAACAATCGAAACCACTATTCACAACGGAAGAGGCCTAAATCTCGAAATGTTCAAAGAAAAGAACTCAATTGCCGTAGCTTTGGAGCGAATGGAACTGTGAACCTTAACCCCGGTACTTGGAAACTGAGTGGAAAAACAAACAGTAGCAGAAAATGCGTGGATTTATGTTGCTCACAAAACGGTTGTGACTTGGCATTTCAAGTTGGAGAATTTTGCTATTCTCTGGCTTGTTACAAGGATAATCGGGGATGCAATCCTCTTGCAATTCCTGTGGGCTTGTCATATCTTCAGCTTAAACGAAGAGAAAAGTCGGTTTCGAAACCCTTAGATATTTCAAAAGGAAACCTGACAAAAAAGACCGATGATGTATTGAAGGTGTCCGAAAAGAACGGTATTTTGAGCACACCCATAGAAGAACGAAAATATGCTCATAGTATTTTACAAAAGGGTTCCAGTTCACAAGACAGTTCAAAACACACTAAAAAGATTCACCCTCAAAACTTAGCTATTAATAATGACACCAAAAGTTCGAACGTGTGTGATTACACCATAAAAAGGGACATGTTTTTCCGCGCAGGTCATAATGCCGGAGAATTCAGACGAGCTAAAAACGCCAACGACGTTGACTCTTGTGCTCAAGAATGCTGTAATTCTACCTCGTGTGATGTATCATATATGGTCGAGAATATTTGCTTTTTAGTCAAATGCAAAGACGCGAATTCTTGTGAACCAGTGTCTGTTGAAAACGTTAAATATCGTTCATCCGTCGTACTTTTTCCAAACACGAGCGGCAGGCAAGAGAGTTTAAATTCTAAATCTAAAAAGGGGGATAGTTCCAACTTCAGTGCCATATCTGAGGGAAAGAAAAAGTTAACAACGAATAACGATGAATCAGAAACAAATCCCATAGAGTCGAATGACCAAAGCAAGCAAAATGATTTTTCAAACGATCTAGAGGTAGCCGGTAGCAAAAAGAGTAATGCGTTGGAGAACGAAGATCATAAAGGTACTCCCAGTCAGAGCAATATTCTTGATATCGTGATCGACAATGATAACGACGATGATGTTATTGAAGATGCGGATGATGATATTGGCACTGATATTTATGATTACGGAACCGATGGTGGTGATGATGATGATTATTATCACGGAGATGTGATTGATAGCAAACGTCACAAAGATGATAATCAAACGAAGAATTATCGAAAGCAAAACACTGTATTGGAGCATAACATGGGGACTGAAAGTATTCCCAAAAGTCAACACAGCAATCTTGTTACTCTTAACAACACCGAAGATTCTTCCAATACAAGAAAGAATCAAACTTCAATGTTTTCAAACCAAGTAAGTTCTGTTACTCATCAAACTGGTTCTCCGGAGAATAATACGAGGATGACATCCCCGGTAGAGGATGAGATTTCGACTTCTGACAAACAAGTGCACGGAATTCCAAGCACTGGAAATTTGGTAAACGAAAATGTGATAGACGGAAATAAAGAGCCTTACCCGTCGAAGCATACCCCAAGAAATGTAAGACCACACGATAATGGTTCCCAGGTGGATCACTCTGGAAAAAGTGTCCATGAAAGCAGTGATCATCAACATTCAGATATTGGAGATACAATTTCCAGAAATGATAACCAAGAGTTTGATGATCAAGAAGTTGGTACGCACACCAGTAGGTACTCTGGAAGCACTAGTTCTTCTGATGTCCATCCTCAAGGAAAAGATCGAGGTAGTGAATCTCATGATGATGAAGTTGGAACAAATAATAATCTTACAGATGACTTTGGATTGGTACACCCAAACAAAACTCCATCTTCTTTGACCTCCGAAATTGCCGAACCTACAACGAAGACAAATAATTTCAGGCATGAAGGTATCCCTGACGTGACATCAAAAGAAAAGCAAGTACAGAATGTTTTAAGAAGGTTGAGAAAAGAAGATGATAAAAGCTCGGAGTTATCTCTTCAACCGCCTATTTTGAAAGATAAGGACTCCAACGACGAAACATATGTGATATACAACGATGCTGATAATGGTGATGGTTTTGGGTCAGGCAGTACTTCAAAACATGTGCGTACAAGCAGTGTAAGTCGTTCGGTTAACAATATGCTGGAAAAAGATGCACCAGATTCACAATGGAATCGCTTTACGTCACAGACTATTGGTGAAGTACAGAACAATACAAGCGAGAAATCTCCAAGTGATGGGAATAGCATGAAAACAACAGACGTATATAACAATTCGATGGATAGAAACAGGTCCTTGAACAAGTCGAGTATAACAGAAAGAAATGTTTTCCATAACTTTGATGCTCACAAGAGCAAATCTGAGGAAAACAGCAAACACATAGTTCCGAAAAATGACACCGTACTGCAAAGAAATCATACTGAAAAAACTGTGGAGAGGCAAACAAGCTTTCTTAATAAAACTAAAGAAGCTAAATGGAGTGACAGCATTACAAATATAAATCAAACCTCTCTTCGCCAGGGAAATGCATCGGCCGATACAAATCCAAAAATGGGAGAGGTGAACATCTCCAATACGTCTTTTCATTCCAATCATGAGAAGAAACCCCTGGCAAAGTCAAATCTACGGGGAAAAGATTATAAAGGGGATAAAATTCTGAAACCAAATGCTCAAGAGGAAAGTGAGTTACAGTATGGAGCTGATGAAAACTATCCGTTTGAAAATTTTCCATCAAACGAGGAAAGTTATTCGGATAAAGGTGGTGACCAATGGCCTTGGGAAGTTATTCAGTTGGATAACAGTTTTCCGGACTTGCCACCCAAATATAACGCTTTGCAGGAAAAAACTAGTTCTGGATTCATGGAAACATCGGGTAGTAACAACATGAAAGGAGATAAAGTATCAAATACTGGAGAGTCTACCAGCAGTGACTCTGAAACAAAAAATATTTCCTACATCCGTTTACATGGTTCAGGACCTTTGAACAGTTCATCGGGGAAACCCGGCACAGAAACATCTAGTAAGCTGATGAACTCGACATTACCCTATCGAAACAGTTCATCACTTGTCCCCAGTACAAGTCGGGAACAATTGCATAGCAGCATAAAAACTGCTCTGAAGTCGTATTATGCCCAAGCTGGGAAAAACCAAGTCCCTGGTGCCACGAAGATTCATAATGGTAGTAATATCCAAAAAGAAGATAAGCACTCTTCATTTCACCAAAACCCAACGGGTCATCTTAATCGGCTGCATCAAAGCGGTTCCAAACTTCATCATTTCATAGAAGAAAATAGGATTTCTCCTGAAAATGTGACGCAGAAAACAAATAACACTCTTCATACAAATTACATTAGTAGTTCACTACTGCACCTAAAAGCTATTGACGATATTTCCTATTCCAACAAAAATGGGGACACGACCGGTAGCGAAGATCCATATTGGATCCTAGCCAGTGGTGACGAACTTAAAAACGATCACAGGGTCTCAGAATCATCAGTTTGGTTTCCGAAGAATAATCGTAATACCACAGTTGTAAATGATGATTATTTTAACCCCTTTACACCTTTTGTGACAAATGGCCATCAAAAAGTTAAAAACATTAACTATAAAATAAACTCCAACAAACAAATAGTCAGAGCTAAGAACGAAGAGGGTGATAACATACCTGGAGCAAAGAAATATTCTGGGAAAACATATGATGTTGCCCCTACTAGAAAGAAACCAAAGAATAAGAAATTGGTGTCAAATGATAGGGATCAAGAAGAAAAATCAGAGAAATTGAACGTTTCTACGTTGAATAAATCCACGACAGATAATGTCATGAAAAAGAAAAGTAATGCTGCAAAGAACTTTGTTTCAGTGACTAATGGAACTTCGAAGGATCGCAATTTGATTAATGTATCTAAGGAGGCTGGGATTGATAGTCTGGTCTATAATGTCAAGAGTACTAGAGAGGGTATAAATAATACACTAAATGAAGACCATCGAGGAACAGGGAACTTGAGAGAACAGACCCATAACAAAAATGCAGATCATGATGGCACAGATAATTTGCATATCAACAGAATACGTTTAAATCAAACCACTGCGCCTCATAGTAGCAGTGTACCTGTAAAGTTGCTGCCACAATATCACACATCGAAGAAGAGCGAAAAGGAATCTGGTAGCAGCTTAGGAATTTTGAAGGATATTGATGAATTGTTGACGAGTGTTAGGAATGAAGACAAGCCCATGTATGATTTTGAAAGAAATCGTACAAATTTAAGAGGCTGGACTCGTGCTAAGGCCTTGGGAGACACTAGTAGTCCAAGAGGTCATTCAGAAGTATATATGACTACTTTAGACGGACAAAATGTTAAAAGTAATACTTCTAGTTTTAATAAAGAAAAACCAAGTCGAAATAAATTTGTGAAGAATGAAAACAAAAGTGTAGTTTTAGACACGATGATCAAGCCTAACTATACTGCAAGGCACAAAAGTGAAAACGTGAAATTTGGTTCTTCAAAATCAAATTCCAATTTCACGGAAGATAAGACTCGAGAAAAACTTCTCACAAGCAAGCCTAAACAGAAAACAGCGATAAACAGGGCAGAAAATCAAAGTAGTGCTTTGCAAGTGGTGAAGGGTAATAATAGTATATCCGAGTACAAAGCGAATAACAAAAGTTATGGATCATTGGAAGAAAACGACATCAATTCATTTATGAAAAACAACAGTCATGTGCTAACAGTGATTACAAATGAAACCAAGTTATGGAGCAAGTTTAGCGATGCTACTGACAGACCGATTTATGACACAAAGTTCGAAATTCTTAGCAATAAATCTGGCGATAACACAGACATGAAGAAAATTCATTCCGATGTAATACCAGTAGACACAAATAGAAAATCATTGTGGAGTAAAAACTCGGAAGGAGATATTATTCCAAAGAATGACGAGATAAAAAACACGAATGAGATTTCTGGAAAAGTTATAATGGAACCAGACGCGCCTAAAATGTTCGATAACTCTGGATTCAGTCACTCAAAAAGTGGCAAAGAGCTAACAAAGGTGGAAATACTTGATGATGGTCGCTTTATTACTGATGACGAAGATGAAACTGAGAACAAATATACTGGGAAAGATCTCAAATTACCATTAAATGGTGATGATGAAGTAAAAAAGATTTCGCAGAAAAAATATACCACTAATCTACATTCGATGAAGAAACATGATTTCAACTTAAATAAATCTGAGGAAAGTACTATCGATAAAATATTACCGGGAGAAAAGACTGGATTATCAAAATTCGAAAATCTTTCATTGCATCATGCAAGAGAATCAGTTGAGGTCGATTCTTTAAAGAAGGGGAACCGTGTACTTGAAAGTCACGCATCAGAAGTTAACATCCCTACAGAGACTAGAAACTCGAATAACATTCATCCATGGGCTTTGAATGTTACGGAGGAAAACCAACGTAAGGACAAGGCTGGTATAGAAGAAATAAAGGGAGAAACTGTTCAATCGCCAGTTAGTAAGGACAAAAGTAAACTATGGGGCCGCAATGAACACGGTGATGAAATCCCAAGACCTGTTGAAAATGTGATTGAACCCAAATCGTTCTGGAAGGAAGATAAACAAACTATAATGGTAACGAAAAATAAAAGTGAGATGGAGAATGACGGGGGTAAAGATGGTGAAAGTAAAATAAGAAAGTGGGGCAAAGGAAACCAATATAGCGATTCTCAGGTAGATGAGAGTCAAGGTAATCTTGACACAGGGGAAAATGCTAAATTATGGGGAAGGAATGAAGAAGGAGATGCTATTCCCAAGCCGAATCGTGACTGGTTGTCTGAAGATGAAATTGAAGATACAGTGTCGAAACCTGTCCACCATTTCAGATTTCCAAACGAAGAACGTGAAAAAGAAATGGATGAAAAGGATAATCACAGAGGATCTGAAGAAATTAGCCATGACGGCAAAGATATTCCAACTACAAGACATTTATGGTTGTCTACCGATGATATTGAAGATTCCAAGTCAACTTCTGATATTGCAGAAAAGATTAACAAAAATGCAAACAGTGATACACATTTTGAAGATAACGATAATGAATTCGAACGAAATGTAATACCATCGTCAAAAGAAGACGGAGAAAGAACATCCAAGAAAAATGAGAACAAGAACGGTGAGGTTTTTGATATTCTTCAAATTGATCTTGTGATAAGGGGATACAGACCTGAAACTTGCATGCACACAGTTCATTTATGCTCACAATTGTGCATTCTATTATTGCTGTACTACCTGTGTAATATTTAGATTGCAATTATATTATTTTAATTTTAATTTATTCGTATTTAATTTTTACTCCTTTTTTTTAGACAAAATAAAACAATCGAATCAGCACGCTGTTCACAGAAAGAGACCTGGAAAACCGTCAGGAAGAAGCCGTCATCCTGAATTTAATATTTCTCGATATAATACCAACCCTATAAGCGCAATAAAAAATAAAAAATCATTAGATCCGTCCGCTCCTTCTGAAGGAGATGGGAAAGACGTTACCTCGAATGATACACTTCCTGTATCGAACGAAACCGAGGCCGAACTGACTGTGAATGAAACTGGACCGGGTTACTTTGATTTAAAAGACACGTTTAGTGCCAACACTACCCAGGAGGAGCTGAAAGAAATTCCGAGGATTATGGAAAATGCGCCTTTGAATGGTACTAATAAAGACACATCCGTAGGTAAAGACTACAGCAGTGTAATAAATGAGTCTAGAAAACCTACATCTGTTGGAAAATATTACAGCAATGAAGTGCAAGAGAGAGAACAGCCTGAAATAATACATTTTGAGGATAAAACACTAAAGAATCAAATTCATTCCACCAAAAGCTGGGACGTAGGTAATTTTACAAGATTAGTACTGACGAAAGAGAGCGTAAACCCGACAGTGGGCCGCATAAAGTCGCATGAATTTGGTAAAAATATTTCAAACTTAGAAACAAAGCCAGATCGAAGAAGTAGTAAAATCAATCCCAACCTGATGAAACGTCCATCTTTTGTTGACCGAACGACTCAATTTAATCCATTCTCCAGAATTGAAATTGTGAATCATAATAGTACATCTTTAAAATTGGAATCCAAACCTCAATCTAACAGAGTTAATGGTATGAGTTCTAAAAGAACAACAATAGTAAATGGGAAGATAAAATCTCAAGAAGGTATAAATTTTTCAAAAATAGTAAAACGGGTGGAAAGGCTGTTACGAAAGTCGCGAATTTCGAGCCATAATGACCTTCGACGAATGCGAAAACTTGTGTATGATCTGGGACACATATCTCGGGTTCAACCCAGTCCTGAAACAGATGATAGTAATGTGTTGGTATTAAACGCAACCGAAGATATTAACTCGCGTTTGAGTGGTATTGAAAAGCGAATGTATGTTGCAGATGGCAACGAAATACTAAATAACATCACTGCAGTTCTTGTGCAACTTGTGGAGAAAGTCCAAAATTCGGATGGTGAAGTAAACAGCACTGCAAAACCCATTGAAGTTGTTAGTAACGTCCCGAAGGAATGGTATGATCATAATGGCCACCACCACTTGAAAATGGCAGATATGGTACACAGAATGAAACATTTGGAAAAAGTTTTTCAGAAACATTTGAAGAAAGAAAAATTGACAACATGTAAGATAGCGTCTTCCACACTTGATCAAATGACCTTAACTGGGGGTTTCGATAATTTAAACCATATTTCGCAAGGGGCTGTCAATGGTATGGACCAGTGCATTGCAAAGTGTTGTGTCAATAAAGTGTGTGACTTGGCATTCTTAAAGAAAAGTGAATGTTACGGTATTGATTGTAAACACCAAAAGTGTCTCTTGAGTCCAGTTATCAATCCTGTTGAATCAAGCGTGGCACTTTTGACCAAACGTATTTCGGCTAATATTGGTTTCACCGGTATACCGATAGGTACTTCTTTAACAGATAAGTGCGAGGTTCAACCACATATCATTACAGATTCTGTTCTTGGTCAAGGCGGGTTAAAAGGGAACGCAACGGTGTTGGAACACGTGACAGACACATGGTCATGCGGTATGGAATGTTGCAAAGTGACTACTTGTAATGTCGCCATGATTCAAGAAGGCGTGTGCTACATCATATCCTGTCTATCTGATGGTCCGTGTTTTGAGTTCGAGCGTTCATCTGGTCAGAAAACCTCACTAGCATTCGTGCGGAGGTCAAAATCGAAAGTGCCAATACTTCAACCTTCTTTGAGTCTGGAGGTTGAAGGGTCAGCAAGTGCTACACTTCCACCTGTCAGCATGTATACTCATCAGCCTGTGCTTTCTTCAATTACCAAGATACCTAGTCCAACAAGCAGTCTACTATATTCTTCACCAACTTCGACCAAAAAGAAACACAGTTCTTACTATTCTAATCCAGCGAACGAACCCACTCATCCGTTATCGAAACCAAATGGTAAAGATCTACATTCCAATATGGCATTAGAAAACTCAGAATCTAATCATAGACATAAAATATCAACTCTGACAAATGCTACTAATTCACCAAATACATGTGTTCAAACGTTTCCTGTATCAAATGTAACCCTACGGGCTGGATTCTCAGCAGGGAATTTTAAATTCCAAGGAAAATTTCCAGACCCTTTGACATGCGTGAATCGTTGCTGTCGAACCAACGACTGTAACGTAGCATTTGTTTTGCAAAACATGTGTTTCCTGGTGACATGTAGTAACAATGAGCTTTGCCGAAATGAACCACTTTTGTCCAATGAATTTGAAAGTTTGCTTGTGTATATAGCAAGGAGTGCTCTGGAAGCCGATATGGTGAAAGACGAATTAGTCCCAACTATAAAAAGAAAGTTTTCAAATGCATCAAAAAAGTCAATAATAGGTCCAAAGTCTAAATTAAAGACAAGGGCTATTAATTCAACTGCAGGGACTAGTCAGAATGGATGCTCTGTCGGCTTCATTGCCTCAAATGCTAAGTTTTTACACGGTTTCGAGTCTGGAGAAATTATAGCTATGGGTAGTCTTAAACGTGGTATAAACGAATGCATATCGAGGTGTTGCAACTACAATGGCTGCAATGCAAGTTTAGCTATCGGAGAGCAGTGTTTCCTTGTAAAATGCTATAGCAAGGAGTCTTGTCAAATAGTGCAATCGGATTCGAGGAACGTGGAAACTTCGGTTGCAATCGTGACTCGACGAGCTGGCGACAAATCGTTGTCTTATCTGTCACCACAGCAACCAACGAAGAAAGCTTCTTTCTTGAATCGCTCAAGTCATGTGAAACAAGAAATTTCTCCAGAGAAAACCCATACTCGGGATTCATTAAAAGGTGATAATGCATTGCCAAATCAACAACAAACGTTGGGATATCATTCTTTGGACAGGAACATTTCCCCTGGTTTGGTGCACGCTCAAGAAAACATTTTGACGCGAGACGTTCCTGCACCAGTCTCGGTGATTGAGCCCTCTACAGTTAACCATGTAAGGAACGAAGATTTATTGGATGGGCAAAGAGGACTTGATCATAACAGTTTAAATTTACTTGCCTCAAAGACGGCACAGAAGGCAAACTATTCTCACGCCATAATAAATTTGGGAATGAATTTTAAAACATCCTCAGGTAACTTTGAGAAAGAATCTATTCCACAAACTGGCAACAATCTGGCAACCTCAGAGTTATTGAGAAAAATACAGGAGGGATTGAATAATTTAGTGCAAGCAAAGAAAGAGTCGGACAATGTAGAAACAGTAAGTAATGAAATTCTTCACGCATCAAAGAGTGAGTTCGATACGATTGGGATCAATGACCATCATATGAAGAATTTGGCTAAAAATATAGCCCATTCAAAGAATGTGGATATTTCTACGACTGGTACAAGGGACAAGGGTTCCCACATCTCAGAATCGCCGAATTCAGAGAATCAAGGGGGTGGTTTGGAAAACAAAAACAGTCAAAACAGTGAAGTACATGGTAAAATCTTCAGAGGGAGGCAACACGGAGCGGATGATTCTACGACCTCCACTCTAGGTGACCTCGTTTCTAAAATGAAAAAATTATCAATTGAGCAAGAACAATTGAGAAAGAATATTCCAGAATATAGTGAAATAATTGGTAAAATCCAACAACATCTTGAAAATAAATCTTGGTTGGTTGGCAATGCAACAAGTAAAGGGGAAAGAAAGGATTCTATAATGCAAAACTACAACATCAAGAATTCATCTATTCTTGGCCTAACCAAAGCTTCTGTTAAACATCCAATGTTTCAAAACAATCACTTATCCACACAAAAGACCACAAGCATTCCAACTCCAAAACTGGTACAATCCCCAACGGCTTTAGTTACAACGCCATCATTTGCTGGTTTGCAGGAAATCAGATCCACCAATCGCCGAGTGCCTACCATTTCAGTAAAGCTTCCTGTATCTGTTGACGGTATATATAAGTATAAAAATGAAAAGCCAAATATTGGTGAAGAAATAGAAAGAGCATTAGAGAATGCAGGAGTAATTCCCATAAAACCAGGACAAAGTCATTCTTCGGCAAATGTATTGAATACTGAAGCTAAGGTACTTCAGAAAACTTCAAAGTATACAAATACATATAAGCCAAAGTCAGCGGGAAGGTCCTTAATTGTTCCGGCAGCCCAGCGTTTGTTACATTTCTTAGAAGAACAAATCAGACTAAAAACTGCCCATTCCAAAGATCCTGAAGGGCCAAAAGACATTGCAAAATCAAGAGAACAGTTGAAATATAGCGAAAGAATGAATGGCCTCATGGATGATCAGCATACATTGAATGACCGTATAAGAAACTTGGAGTCAGAAATTCATCAACTGAGAAGTCGGAACAACCTTCATCCCAGTAAAAGTGAATCTCAGGTGAAAACATCCAATGCTGGGTTGGGAGTATTCCATGTGAAAAGTGCAAGAAAAGGACAACATTCTGACGAAAACAATGTATCGTCTGTTGGTGAAAGAGAGGAAGAGCTTACCACTAAGGATGACAAGAACCTTCTTATAGAACAGTTACGAAGTATTGTTCGATCTGAGCTTTCGCACGAGAGTGAAATGGTTTCCCCGACTTCGACAGAGCTACATTCTACGACCATCAAACGACTGAATGACGCAAGTCATGCAAAAGAGCACGAAGTTATCCTCGAACATAATTTAAATCGATTGTATAATCATGCCGTCGCTGACATGGAGAAAGCACTTGAGTCGAGTGGAAAGGATGAAGATGGTTTAGTACAAGAGAATGTTAAGAAAAATCACATAGATAGTAAAATAATTGATTTAGCTAAATCGAAGAATCCTAAATTTCCTAACATTGCACTGGCGAAACCAAAGTCAATGACGAATAAAAGTGTACTTAATAATAATTTCTTGCCTGGAGAAGATAGCTCAGGATCGAGAAAAGGAGACAAAGGAATAATTAGTTTAGATAAATCAAGAAAAGCTAAATTTCTGGATATTGCATTGAATAAACCAAAGCTTGGGACAAATGAAAATTCAGTTGATACTAAAGTTATGTCTGGTAAAGATATTTCAACTTCGAAGAACGAAGAAAACAAAATGATAAAAAATAATAATTCCACAGAAGATAACGATAGACACAAAGCAGAATTAGTATTTCAACAACCTTCGAACAATTTTCCAAAAGACTTAATGCTAAACAAGGACTCAAGTCTCCAAAGGTCCCCTATATTAAGTAAAGAGACTCCTACTATGAATGACAAATCTCCAACATGTCAACACAGCGAAGTGCAAAATGACGTCACCCTTAGAGGAGGGATTGCAAGGGAAGGTGTAAAAGATGGAGGGATTGTAGTGGATATGAATGAATGCATTGGGCAATGTTGCAGTAGTACATCGTGTAATGTAGCTTTCATGCTGAAGGATAACTGCTTCTTACTACCTTGTACAGATACACACCTTTGTCAAGTAGTTGATCTCCCTACCAAAAGTCTTAATACGAAACTGACTTTTGTTAGTCGCGATAGCAAAGCCAGTGTAGAGCTGAAAATGTTTGATAATATTGTCAAGAGTCTTGGTTTGTCGTCTACTGCAAAGATTCAGAACTCAAGTCTTAATTCACTGATTAAGAAGAGTAAACTTCCATCCCAGATGCAGACAGCCAAACTAGAAGGAACTGGACAAGTTGCAAGGCATGAAGAGATTAAGAAACCATTGAGTTCATCTTCGAGAGATAGTTCAAACAATTCGACCGTACAAGCATTACTTGACGAAATGAACTTGCTTACATCACAAACTGGCTCCGACGAAAATGGTTCAGCAATGAAAGTCGATTCTGAAAAGGAGTTGCATATGTTCTCGAACACTAAGCCAAGGACGTATCCTCATCCAAATCGAGAAAATACATCGTCTTTGCACAAGTTACCATTAAAGCCAAAACTTTGCCCTTATAGTGAAGTAGAGTACAACACAACCATTCAAGGTGGACTGGCAGCTGCTGACTACAAATATGGCGGGAAAGTGACTAACATCAATGACTGTGTTGAGCTGTGTTGTGAATCCGATAGCTGCAGTATTGCATTTATGTTTTCAAACGAATGTTTCCTTTTGGTGTGCAAATCAGAGAACCAGTGCAAAAGTATCCAAGCAGCTTCCACCGAACTCAACCCAAGGATGGTCCGGTTGTTGAGGACAAACTCTGGAAAAGACATTCAAAGACTGGCAGAACCAGATAAGGTTCTTAAAGAGGCATTAAACCCGAAGGGTATATCACCATCAAAAAAGAAATCTAGCGAAGATAGTAAGCATAAGAAAGATTCCGTATCTAGTTGTATGAAAAGTGATCCACATCATCACGTTGTGCCTGAAGGTGGAATGCAAGGTGGGAATTACAAAGATTTTGGACGAGTTAAGTCAGTCCAAGAATGCGTAAAGTTTTGTTGTGGATGGGCGAAATGTAGTATGGCCTTCATGGTTCTCGATGGATGCTTCGGGATTTCTTGCGAAAATGACTGCCGCGTTGTTCCAAGTGGGGATTTGAGTTTCCAGTCGAAAGCTGTTTATGTTAAAAGGCGTCAAGATGTATTGCACTGGTTGAAATCGCAAGGTATGTCCAGGTCTACGGTGCCTCGTGTTACTAGCCATACTGGCAAGCAAAGTGAAAGCGTTTCAAACTTGAGTGGGGGTGGAGGTAATCAATCAATTCATCCGAAAAATAAAATCGAAAAGGCAACAAACAGCAAACCTGACTTAGTTCCTTTAAAATCTTCAACTACCCAAAACACTTTCACATCGAAGAAAGTTTCTTCTAAGGTACCATTAGATACTGGAAATCTTAAAACGTCTAAGAATTCAATCCTGCATGCAAATAATATTAACCAGGCTGTCTCAGATAAAATTTCTGTTTCGAAACAGTTGACTTTACCTCAGAACATCTCAGAAGAATCGACGATATCCAAAGATAAACGCGGTGATGGAATTAAACCTCAAATCAATGTTAAAGCAGCTGTAGAACCGAAGGTTTCGAGTCGTGGTAACGACAAAGGACTCTGTATTCCGGGAGAGGTCGAACATGATGTTACTTTGGGGGGTGGGATAAAAGCTGGATCATATACTGAACAAGGCGAAGTCTTGAATATGCATGAATGTGTGGAATGGTGTTGTAAAGAGAAGAGATGCGATGTTGCTATGGTGATTAAGGGTATATGTTACACTGTTTCTTGTTATGAACGAAGAAATTGTGTCAGTGTTCCTGTAAGAAGAATACAGTATCATCCTAGCTTGGTTCATGTAAGAAGAGTGAAACGAGGAATGGCCCACGATGGATATGATAGAACAAACAATGGTAATGACGTATCTCTGCAAGAAATCGTGGAAGGATCCAGTAGAACATCAAGGATCGATCATGGATCACTCGACGATGAACATGAGAGCTCCAAAAATGGAAAGTCAGCCATCGAAGATGAGTTGGTGGATTTGCTGACGGAGCAGTCGCTAGGGGGGTCTAATCGATTCCCAATACAAAAAGGTAAGCGATCAAAGAAACGCTGTTATCATTGGAGGCCTATTTGTCGTCATCACAAACAAATAATAAAAAATAACATCATCAGATAACTAAACAGTTCGGAACTTTCCCATTAGTATATTTCCTCACTAATGATAGCATATGCTTTTTCCTAATATAGATAAAGGACACCGGTATTCATCATTGGATACAGAAGATCAAAGCAACGAGCATATTTCGGAGAGGTTGCCTGATCATCAAACTATGGAACCAACTAAATTCTCCGATGGAAATATCTTTGATGTCTCTAGGGATAGAGACATAAACATTAAGCCTATTCAGGCATCCCGCAGGCGTTTAGGGATGTCGACCAATGTCGACCCTCCCTCTTGCCTGCACAACCCGATCTCTTACAATGTTACGCTAAGTCACGGTTTGAGATCGGGTCATTTTAAAGATCAGGGGAGGGTCGACAATTTCGATGTTTGCTTTCGTCTTTGTTGTCGTGACGACGAATGTAACTTGGTATTCATGTTGCGCAGTTATTGCTATCTGGTTTCGTGTTACGATCAAGAGTCATGCGCATTGAAACCATTGGTGTCAACAGCTAACAGAGAGCTTGCAGTTGCGTTTGTGTATAAAGAACGTAACAAGGAGTTAATGGATCGGAATAGAGCTCCAATGAATCACGTGTCTTCTCTCCCCGCGAATTACCAAACAAATAAACAGATTGAAAACGAGCCAGATGTAACGAATCAGAACGTTGATCGAATGTCTGACCAAGCGTTGCAAAGTAATCCAAATGTTGAATCCAATTATCAAGAAACGAAACCAATGAACCCACATATAGCGAATACATATCTAACTGGAAAAGAAGGTTTACAAAACCCACAATCTTCAGATCAGATTGTCGGGAATAGACCCTTTAGTCAAACTCGCCCACCAAGTCTGGATATCACTCCAGAAACAAAAAGCACTGTACACCCGGACGATTCCGTGAGCTGTATCCCAGGTCCAGAACGATATTATACAACTCTTCAAGGTGGGCTAAATGCTGGGTATTTCACGGATATTGGTTTCGTTTCCAACATGGAAACATGTAAACAGTACTGCTGTGAAAAATTGGACTGTGATGTAGCATTAATGCAACAAGAACGATGTTACCTGGTCACTTGTCCACGCTCGGAGCTTTGTCGAGACGCTCCCGCGAGTTTCGCACGAGGAATTACACGGGTATCGCACATGTTCCGTGAGGGAAGATCCACTGTGAACGAAGGGAATATTATTGGAAATCGAGAGGAAAGTATGCGAGGTAATAGGGGTATGTATGGCTTTAGAGATAATCATGAGGGTATCGATGGTATCAGTAGTGATGCTGATAACCGTGGTAATGGAAATTTCCATGATTTTGGAGGTTCTCATGAGGATATGAGTGGTATACGTGGTAGTCAAGATACTTATGATATAGAGGGTATCCGTAGTAATGCGGACAATCGTGGTAATGGGGATATGGTCAGGGATATCAATGGTGTTCATGGTAAAGACGAAACTTATCGCAGAGAAGGTATTGGGAATATTTATCATAATATGAGAATCTTGGAGGATCGAGACACTCAGAGAAGTTCGCCAATAAAAATGGAGCGAAAAGACACTATACCTGTTGGATATGAAGACAATAGGCTACCCTCTAGGTCATCTTTCGACGCGGATGACAAAGATAATGACGAGGAGATGAACTTACTGCGAGATGCTATTGCAGGTATTGAACAGAAAAAGCAATTACAAAATGAAGAACAATCTCACGAAATGCGAAGTACGTCAGGGATTCCAACTCCTCCCAGTCGAACCAAGACAGATTTCGAGAAACTGTTCGATAAAGACAGACAAGATCCTCTGATATTTGATGACTTGGCAGGAAGACGAAAACATAGTTCGAAAAGCGAGGGTCTTGGAGACATGGCCTCTGATATATTGTCAAACATTTTGAAGCATCGCACCCATGACTCTGTTGAATCCATTTGGTCGAATGGTAGAGATCCCTTACAGAATGAGATAACTAAAGCAAGGGAGACCAACACTCCAGAAAAAATTGAAAATGAACTACATCAGTCGGAGAACAAGAAAATCTCAGAAGAACAGGGACACAAAGCGATGAGTGGTGATCTTAAGGCACAAAGTTTGTCACCATGGCCAGAGAATAATTCTAGGATGAGCGGGGATAGTGATACTACGAGATTAGACAGTGATCTGGGAAGACAAGGGAAATCTAGCGAGACGAATGAGAACCCAGATGATCAGTCGAAACTTATAGAAACTCTGTATAATCTTGTAAAAGAAAACTCTAGAACCAAAAATGATGATAGTGTGAAACAGAAGGGAAACTATAATAAACAAGGGACAGTATTAAATAAAGAGACGAATAATGATGAAATTATCGATACAGACAGTCCCGAAAGTGACATGAATACTGCCGAAGATGAATACTCGGACAATGTCGACAATAACGACGGCTACAGAAGCGGGAATGCTTACAATTCTCGACTCAAGGACACTCATCCCAAAAAAATGTCAACTCATTTTAGGCATGCTCAGGAGAATCGTTTTGGGTTGAAAGTGAATGGGAATGATGTTCATTATAGAGATAATGATAATGAGGATGAAATATATGATACTGGAACAGAAGAGGATGGCGATAATGTAGTTGAAGAGAGAAAATCTTCGTGGCAAAGTGGAAGGCAAGAAGGAAAAATGATTGGGAACTCTGAGCAGGATGTAGAGGGAAGCCAAAGTAGAGAACGAGAAGAGAAAACGGATGGGAATTCTTATCAAAGATTGCATGATCGGCAAAGTGCAGAAGAGCAAAGAAAGACGAACAGGCTTTTGGACCAAGATCTTGACTTCATCACTGATACGCTGGGGCAGCAAGAACTTCAAGATAGAAATGATTATGGCACGAATGACGACAATTTTTCGGATTATGGCGATAATAACCTCGATTACTCAGACGATTTATCAAAGATGGATGAGTACAACTCCTTGGGCATGAGTCGCAAGCTGCTTCATTCTCAACCTACGAATTTCAGAAAGCCGCATTCTCCGGTGAATTATAACATCAAGGCAAACCACTGGCAAAATAATGCTCAACGGCATACAAGTCCTAACTTATCGGAGAATAAGGTCCATTTTCTGGCTACGCATTCTAATGGGAGGCAGCCTTTAGTTTTCCTTGAGGAAAAGCAACCACTGGGGCAGGAAAATGATAATCTTGTCATGAATGAGTTGCAAAAAATCGAGGATGATTTATCTGAAATAAAAATCCAGCCAAAATCGGCAGAAGGTATCTCTGAGCATACCATACAGAAACCGAATAGCACAATTAGCAAGAGCCCAAACTTGATGGAGAAATCCAAGGATGATAGGAACACTAAAGAAAGTATTGTTGACATATTGGCCAATCTTAAGGATATTAGTAGCCCAGCTTCAAATAAAAATTTTAAAGGACAAACTTCGAATAAGACAAGTGAAGGTAACGTGGGTAAAACCGATGACGAAAAGTTAATTTTGGACCAATTAAATGAAATCAAGGACCAGATCGGAAATATCTCAAAGTCTTCTGGCAATTCAGGGAAGACGAAGGTTTCTCCTAAGGTGGATGATATTGGCGACGAAATTAGTGAACTTCTTGGCGAAGACTGGGATCTAGATAAACGGTCACATATACCAAAGCCGAGTGTCAGCGAAAAATGGGCACGTGGTGGATTAGGACCTGTTTACCATGATTCTCGGATGCAAGGTGTGGGGAAGATTGGGACAGGAGATGTCACTGGAGGTAATGCTTTAGTTAAAAGTACGATTTGTCTAAACTAAATTAATTAACTTTATTTTTACTTAATATCTTTTTAGTTTTTAAAGGATTTAGTGTCGAATCATGGTATCTTACCTAAAATTAACAAGTAACGATAAGACTGCCTTCGCTTGTTACATTTTGAATAAAAATTTGATAAATGAAGCAAGGATTCTCAAAGGATGGTTGAATATACGACAGATTGCAGAAAACGTTTACTGATCTGTTGATCTACTCGGCCCACCAAATGGCCTCTACAGCAGAAATTTGAACCCGCAATGCTATGGTGTGACACTAATCCGTTAAGCACGAAATCTGCGAACATAAATAAGCATACATGTAATTTTTTGTCTATGAAGTGTGATGTTTAAGGATTTCCTTGTTACTCCAAGTACATGTTTCTCTCCATATCAATATTTTGTTCTTTATAGTGGAGCAAAGTGTCCCGAACCTCGGGCAAGAATTTGTCACACGTGCCCCACCTACCTTCCGCCCTGTGGGCATCAACCAACACCTACTCACAACTCCCAAAATGCCACAACTGGAACCCACCTTGCCAACTCCACTCCCACATTACAGGGACAACGAACCAACAGAGAAAAGCGAGATTTCTAAACCAAGCCACGAGTCTTTCATTCCCACAAAGTTGGATCCATCTCATATAGGTAACCTTATGGTTTCCCTTGATAAATCCGAAATTTCCAGCATGTCAGGAAACCGAGTCTCTCCTACGTCCAGAGCAGCAACCCCAAAGGTGCCGCAAAATCCTTTCATTCCATTTTCAAACGATAAGGACGATGTACAGTCCAGTTCAACCCCTCAAAGGGAATCGCGTATCAATGGTAATGCCGGCGACAAGGCTCAAAATAGGCAATTAAAGGCAGTAATTCCCTCGCCAGCCGATCCTGTACAGGAACAACCAAGCTTTCAAGATATACATGACATGGTGGTGTTTAGTAAGAAGAAACCGAAGGCAAAAAATGCTGCAAAACAGTTCAGAATAGGTAAGTTTCAATTGTGGTAAATTTTACCAGACATAACTTAAGGCATGTTAAAAAGAGCTCTGCTAACCAGGAAACTTACATGAGCGACATCCGCACCATGCTCTTTGTCAATGCGCATAAAATTCAATTTGTATAGGTAATAGTATGGTTTCGAGTGCAATTTGGAAAAAATATGTACGAGTGAGTATTTCAAAGACGATCAAAATTCCACGAGCCCGAAGGACGAGTGGAATTTGAAGTATTTGAAAAACTCGCGAGTGTATGTTTCTTCAAATTGCACGAGAAACCATACTATTACTTATTAATAATATACATGAAAAAATTATGCAGTCACATGCGTGCGAAATAGTTAAATTTAATATAAATAATTTTAATAGAAAATCTACTAAAAAAACGCCAAGCTATTTTTGTAACTTATAAATGTTTGGGATTTTTGTATTATTTTCTGCTAGAAATGGCTGTATCTTATAATGAATGAAATTTGCACTGTATTTCGTATTTCGGCAATGTATGTCAAAAATTGCACTGCTCTTAGCCAATCAGAATTGAGAAATTTTTTATGTATATTATTAGTGTTCATATACAGTAAGAAATGAGCCAGCTCTGCAAGGTGGGATCTCAGTTAAGTGGGATAAAATACGAAGGCTTTAATCGCCTGACCGGGATGGACATCCACCAGCCGAACTGTCTCGCAGGCATCTTGTATAAAGGAATAGCTCGTTGACTGATTCAGGGACACCAGGGTCCGGAGATTTCTTCAAGGTCGGTAACATGAGAAACAAGAGAGCGAACGTCTTTGGAAGAAAAACTAGTGGACGCATGGCGGCTTTCTTGGATAGCAAACATTGTAAGAGACCAAATTTATGACCTCTTACATGTTTGCTTTCTATCGAAGTCGATATTATCAGTGGCAAAGAACTGTTTTCTGAGAAAGAAGATGCTTTGCAGGAAGTGAGAGAATAGAAATGTCACAAGTTGTACGAAGTTGATTGTCGACAAGATTATCCTCAGAAGTCTCGTAATATTTTGTTGTCGTCATGGTGATTTCATCTCTGAGGTCAGTCAACGTCGTCGCACACACAAAGGATGGTTGGAATAGACATAGCCTATCGAAGGGAAGATGGCTGTGAAACTCATTAGAATAACAATATAACTCATTATCTATGTTAGTCAACGTTTATTTATAAATCTGGTCCTTTCACCGTCACGTGTGTATTGTATTTTTATCAAATCCACCAATAGCAATTTGCAGTTTCCCCCGCATTGTTCGAGTCACGGATAAGTGACTTTCCTAAAACATTGCTATTGGTTAGTTGGGCAAAAAAAAAATACACACGTGACGGTGAAGGACCAGATTTATGAATAAACGTTGACCAACATAGATAATGAGTTATATTGTTATTCTAATGAGTTTTACAGCCATCTTCCCTTCGATAGGCTATGGAATAGATTACGGAAGCAATTGACACAATTTCTGTAAAAGTAAATAGCCCAGGCTATGTATTTTCTCCAGATAACAATAACATACATATTTAACAGTTAGTCACCAAAGCCAAGGTGATTACAAGCCTATATTCACTGAGCTGCGAAGCAGCGAACAATAATTGGCTGGAGAGCGTGGAAAGCTGTAGAATTTGTAAACAAAGGAGTAAGCACAATATTTTTCTTGCCCTCCAGATATTGTTATTCAAAGTGTTTTTAGGCCAGCTGCAAAGGGCGTATCGATCTTTAAAGTAGTAACTAGGGAACATTGGCTTAAATATTTTGGAATATCAATACAAATACATTGATATAAACCTTTCGAATATTTTTCTGTTTCAGCTAAAATTCCCCATCTTCTTGCCCACTTAAACTTTGAAAACTCTTCTGGTTTAACAATCCTGGACGACTCGGGCTTAGGCCACAACGCGAAAATGTCAGGCGCCATATTGATTCGCCCTTACAAAGGAAAATGCAGCTCAATTGCCAACTTCAAAGGCGGAAAAATACTCTTCGATCCGGAATCCTTTCACGTTAAGCCACGAACGGCTGTCACGGTTGCTTTATGGATCAAGTTTGATCATTTTGCTGGAGGTGTCTCGTTATTCAGCGTCCAACGAAGTCGAAGCGGACATGGTGGAAAGCTCGATTTGCGGATTTCCGCTGGTAGGGTATGGTGGGCTCATGTCGATGAAAACCGGAAGCTGATTTTTGACGTAAGTACGAAATTAGCAACGTTAAACATCCTCAACCTGTAACAAAGATCAGAATTACAGATCATAGGTTACCTGTTGAAACTGGTCAATATAGCAATGTTCCATACGATAAAAGAGCAAAAGTAGACTGAACAGCGTAAAGCCCTGTGCAGATGGGCAATTTTTCCTTGACAAGTTTTATTTGCCCGTGTGTACGGCTAGTCATGCCAGCTTTTGCACAAGGATTTTTTTCGTGTGTATGGCTGCCAAGGAAAACTTGACAAGTGTACAAGAAATACTTCTATGGTGTTGCCAAACAAAAGGCAGTAATGACGTGAGATAAATGTTTGCATACACACTAGGAACAAAAATTGGCAAGGAAAACCTGTTGACTGTACACACAGAAGGTATAAAGTTGTCAAAGAAAACTTGTTAAGGAAAACTTATTGACCGCACACACGAGAAAGTCAACTTGTCAAGATAAACTTGTCCAGGTAAACTTGTCAGGGAAACTTGTCAAGGAAAACTTGTTGACCGTACACACGAGAAGGTAAATTTGTCATGGAAAACTGTGACGGAAAAGTTTCTCGTCCGGGCTTTAATTTCTTGGTTTACTGGTGCTTCAAACGAAGCTAGGGCAAAATTTACGGGGAATAGGTCCTTGTTGAACCTCTTCAAACTTAAGATATAACAGAAACCTACATTATTTTGACATATAAACACTCGCAATCCAACGTTGTTTTTAGATCAATACGAGATTATCGGGGATTGCCGCTGGACAATGGACCCACATTGCAGCAACATACGACTCGAAAATTCGTATGGCAAAGGTTGTCGTGAATGGCAGATTGGTCAGCGAAATCGAGGCTAGTGGATTTATATCACAACAATGGCTTGGTGACGTAGGTATTGGACTGCTGAATAGTTTCCATGGCAGCGTGGATGAGTTTTATCTGTACGACCGTGCGTTGACGACTCCCGAGATTGATCGTGCACGACATAAGTGTCATGAACTTCTAGGTACGATTTTATTTAGTTACTTTTCATTATTGTATGTCACGCTAACATTATTGTATGTTGCAAAATTGGATACTCAAAAGTCCTTAATTTTTCAGAGAAATTAAGTTCTCAAATGTCCTCAATTTAAGTTTTAGAAAATCTACATTTTTTATGAAAAGTCCAGTGGCGGTGTTAGCCATAACAACAGGTCATTATTCAAATATTAGTATGGCATGACCAGTTGCCATGGCTAGCTTTGCCACTGGAAAATTCAATGTGACTTGCATATACTACTCACTCACTCACTCACGTATTTCTTTCCATTCGTGCAATCAGTGAATCGCTTCTGTTTCCATTTCATGAGCCACGCGCTATAGTATCAGTTTTCAAATTATACCAGAAATTGTTCGTTTAAATTACATATTTACACGATGAATAGACCTCAAAAATTCCATAAAATTTATATCTGGAAAGAACCCTGCCCAACGATAATCGTGGTTACTAGGTTTTATGCATTCAACTGTTTTTCGTTTCTTTCAGTCTCGAGGAAGAGCAAATTAGTTCCAACTATGAATCCATTGAAACAACCTCCTGTTACAGTCACTTCAGCGAATCGTGCTACCATTAATGTAACCTCACCTAACACGTGCTCAGAAGGAACCTTTCATGTGAACAGCACGCTGCAAGGTGGTCACAACGCGGGAAGATTTGAATACCAAGGCCGTGTTAAGAATGTGCTGAAATGTCTAAAACGATGCTGTGATTTAAAATATTGCGATTTGGCATATATGGGCATGGATGGTTCTTGTTATTCTGTGCATTGTAAGAATGAAAACCTCTGTAAAGCTGTCCCTGTTATTGGCGGAGAATCCACAAGCGTGTTTTATGTCTCCCGAAAGGCAAAACCTCTTGGAGGTAAGAAGTTTATCGAAACAAAAGAAAAATACATTGGTAATAATAGATGTTTTTGAATAATTGTTCTTGATCGTAGGTTACCCTCAAATAGTCTGATGTTGTACAAAATTCATTCAAATGTACGTCTAGCTGTTTTACATTGTTGTTTTAAATTCACTAACTTAAATAGTTTTAATATCTCACTATTGGAACTGAATTCTAAATAAAGATAAAAGGTTTATGGACATAAATGAAGGTTTATGGACATTATTGTTGCTACCAAATCCACTTTCATTTGAAATTTCACATATGATTTCACATGTGAAAGTGTCTTTTCATGCACATGTGTTTTCCGAATTTCACAAAAACGTTTCTGAATCTCAAATTTCATATGTGAAATGTTCCAATTCCGCATAAAATTTCACATGTGGAATCGTATGTAAATGTCCCTAAGGGCTAATTATAATCTTTTATAGGCAATGCGCTGTCACTCTTAAAACAAACCATGAAACACAATTCCACAGCTGATGGGAAGACTAACAAGACTCACCATGAAGCAGCAGCAGTTTTCCAGGACGCGCCAATACTCAATAAAGATGCACCCCAGGAAGAATGCAGAGGGGAAACCGTGTTTTATAACGTGGGCTTGAAAGGAGGTTTGCCTGCTAACAGTTTTAGAAGATATCGAGGAGTGAGGGCCATGGAATCGTGTTTGGGACATTGTTGTGAGTTGAGTGACTGCGATTTGGCTTTGATTCAAGATGGCGATTGTTTTGCTGTGCACTGTAGTACGCACGAACTGTGCAAAGTCGTTGGTGGCGTTGGGGAACTGGCGCGAGTGTGGCGACGTACTTCAGGTAAGTTAAAGGAAAAAGAATTTTCTTCCTGGGAGCACAACCTGGAGACAAAAATTTCCTGCAGACCAATGGAGTGTTTTTGTACTAAATCTACATGTGCATAAACATATAGTGTTCTAGCTGAGCATGATTTTCAGTTCAGGGAATAATGTCTGTCCACCATGTGTTGTTGCGCCCATAGTGGGACATGGGTGTTAAGGTTTCATTAAAATATAATTTTCAATATCAAATCTTCATTCAAACGAATTTCCTGGCAGCTGTTTAACATTTCCTGCGAGCAGTTTCGCGTGCTCGCCTACTTTTTCTACCGTTGTTGATGAGTGTTCCAAGTTCCGACCATGCATTAACTTAAATAGAATACCCTGATAGTGTTGGGGAAGTATTAAGACAGCTAACCAAGATCGCGTGACTGCCAACTCCCATGCACTCTCCCCTCGTTTTAATCAATGAAATATTTTTAGGCTTCAAAATCGTCACAGCGATTTAGTCTTTTCCAGTATTGTAAGTTAGGATTTTCTGCGAATGACACCAAGCAAACGGATCTCTTGATCTCGCCAGCTTAATCTTGATCGGTACAACACCAAGAATTTAACGGTTTTGTACAAATAAATTCGAGTGGATTCTTTCTTTTTCATGTCACCCACCTAGTTTTATCATTCACTATCCAATCAGTTATTTGATAGTTAATGATTTGCTTGTTTCTAAGTCATTAAAATGCATTTAAAGGAAAATTGTGCAAGTATGAAATTGCTGAAATTGTTTGAATGTTTGTTGAGAGTTCTGTGGATAATGAGCTTGAAATTGCGAACATTCACATAAAACGCATGCAAGTATGCAATATCGCACAGCATATTAAGATCACTATTTTAACAGCTGTTTTTAAGCCAATACAGATGATTTTGTCTTTTCAGTGAACTTTCTTATATTTATATTTTTTGGTAACTTTTAGTAACATTAGAGGGTGTGGTCGAGTTTTGATTAATATATTGATTTAATTTCTTAAGACAAGTCATCTAGAAACCAAACTGATCGCTACCAAGGAAAAGCGCTTGTTCTGTATTTCGGGTTTCATGATGTCTCAGGAAATATTGTCCATGATGGTTCTGGAAGGAACAATAACGGGAAACTGAACAAAGGTAATTGATGGTTTCTTTTGTTTTACCTTTATGATTTCTTGTGTTTTATTAATATTATTCCATCTGGCTATTCAGCTTTTCTACTGCTATCCTATAACCTAAGAATCCTATTCTATATTGACTTCTTTAAGTTCGTATGCAATTTTTCCAGTGATATATGCTTTGTTTTCAATTTGTTAATATTGAGGTACAAAACAATGCATTCTGACAAGAATAATCCATTTTCTTTTTTTTCTCCAATAATCTTCTCAATCTTCTGTATAATATTTTCGCATTTCCTTTTGACTAAAGTCTACTGAAATTCTTTTAGAGATTGTATAATTGTTTGTAATAATAGTATTTAAAATGTCTTCCAGACGCGAAGATAATGACATACAGCAGGCATGGACCTGGACTAGATTTAACCGAAGGAAGAGTGCTGCTCGATGGACATTTTTTCCAAGGAAAACCCAAAGATGGAATATCTATAGCAACCTGGCTTAAATTGTCAACCATCGAAGGAAACCATGTGGTCTTCAGTAGTACAAGTAGCAAACAGCGCCTGAGTAAAACTTCTTACTTATTCAGAATCCAAGATGGCCGAATTCTCTGGTCACATCAAAACGAAATCGGTGAAAATGTATTCATGGTTGTTTCCCCTCTTGTCATTGGTCCAAATATTTGGTGTCACGTGGTTGTGACGTATGACTCGGTTTCAGAGAAAGCGAAAGTATTGGTCAATGGAAAAGTTAAAGCAGTTGGGCGTGGTCGCGGGAAACTGTCGGACCAATGGGGAGAATGGTCGTATTTTGGTGCCAATTTGAATGGAAAGGCATTCAACGGTTATTTAGACGAGGTGTATATTTTCAAACGACCATTGCATAATTCTGAAGTTAGGAAGTATCTCACCAACATGGATGCGAGGAATTATGGATTGAACAATATCTCAAAAGTCACAAAGGAGAAAGATTTTCCAACTATAGCTTCCAGTAAACGTCTGGAAAATATACGAAATTCACGAGGCAAAAACGTTGTGAAGTTAAACGTTTCTGACCATCCACTGAATAATTCTACCAGCATGAATGTTAAAATGGCACAAAATTCTACCTACAGGAATACATCAGAAAGACTATTTGAAGGAAAACAGCGCAGTAAGCCAACAGACAATAATTTAACAAACTCGCAGAAAAAAGATACAAAGTTTAAAGGTTTGTTTTCCGAACTGAAAGCTGCTACGATGCCCAATTTGACCGATTTTTCGTGTGCTGCAAATGGCACAGTTTATGAAAAGATGACATTTCGGGGTGGGTTACAGTCAGGGAGATTTTTTAAAATTGCTGATGTAAGTAACACTACAAATTGTATAAGCCAGTGCTGTAAGAGAAACACATGTGATGCTGTCATTATGAAAGGAACAACTTGTTTTGCCTTGACATGTCGGAGTAAAAAACTCTGTGAGCTTCAGCCGGCCAAGTTATCTACTTTTGACCTAAAGATTGCTTTTGTCAAGCGGACTCCAAAAGGAGCAATCAACCAATCATATCAAAGGATTTCGTCGTCTAGTAACAAGTGTGTACCTGGAATTAGGGTTGCTAATGTTACTGTTAATGCGGGCGTAGGAGCCGGGCAGGTTGTCCAATATAGAAATATTAATAAGGTTGATGAGTGCGTCGCTCAGTGTTGTTCAATACCAAAATGCAATACTGCTTTCCTGGTTCAGAATACATGCTATGTCATTGCTTGTGTTATTAAAGACTTTTGCAAGGTACGCCCGCCCCCAAGTGCGGACTTTTTATCCGAGGTTGTTTACGTTAACAGAAGTGGGAAAATGTTATTTAAGGATCCTGAAAATGCCCTAATGCTACCTTCGAAATTTATCACCCATAAACATAAGATGGTGTTGGGTTTGAATGCATCACATGATGCAGCTCATACGTTAGAAATGAAAAACAAGGAGGTACAAAAAGGCAACAAAGCAGAAACAAAAGATCACAAAGGGCCGCATAACGCAACTAAAACATACAGCACAGAAACGGAATGTCGTGTTGAAACGATCAAGACCGATGTTCGACTCGCTGGCGATCTGAGTGCTGGAGTGTTTGTGGATCATGGTATTGTGAGAGGGATAAAGGCGTGCATCATAAAGTGTTGCAGTGATCCATTGTGTAATGTGACTTATATGATTGGGAAGAAATGTTTTGCAGTACGATGTCATAGTGTTGAACTGTGTAAACCTGTTCCTGCTTTGCCTAAGGCCTTGAGTCCAACCGTTGCTTTCGTTCGTCAGGGAAGGTTAAGAGGTAAGTTGGTATATTTTGCTGTCTCTTGTATGCTGGTGATCCTTTCATGATGAATTAAAGTGTAGTTTGTAATTAATTTGTTGATTGGATTGTTATATGGTTGGTCTTTTTGGTTTGGTAGTTGTTTGTTAGTCGTCTGTGGTGTGTTTCAGTTATTTGGTTAGTCAGTTGAGGTAGCAGTTATTTATATATTTATTTTTTAATTTATTAGTTAGTTAATTATTTAGTTGATTAGTTAATTAGTTAGTTATAGTTAATTAGTTAGTTACCTTAGTTATTAATTAGTTAGTTAATTAGAAAGTAAATTAATTAGGTAGTTGGTTTCATATTAATTTGGTAGTCAGTGCAATAGTTAGTAATTTACTCAATAGTCCATTAGTTAGTTAACTAGTCTATGTGCTTGGTAGATAGTTACGATTGGTTATATGAAGAAATTGAGAATAGTTGATTCGTTTGATTGGACAAGAAGAGACTTTTCAATTAATAGCTTATTCACAGATCTTAAGTAAAATTGATTTGCTTAAGAAATGCTTAGATTAAAATTAGGACATAGAATTTAGATTCAAAGTATTGCTTTCATTTCTTTACTGCAAGATCGTTTATTGCTCTATAATTCTACCATTTGTGAAGGTAAGCCATTGGTAATTCAACAGTGGACTTCTTTTTTACAGTGACCCACTCGCATGGGCAAACTAACCACCATAATGGTAGACCACGTTTGAGAAACCTGCTTCACGCTTGGAGGAAATTGCAAAGATACAGAAAATTAAAGAAAGGACGTTTGAATATGGCTCACCATTCTTTGAGGCACAAAAAGAAACATAAGATAAATCACAAAGCAAAGCACAAGAAAAAGCCCAAGCTGAGACATCGGCTCAAACTTAAGTCGCAAAAGAAAATGGACAAAGAGTTAGTTTCCAAACATGGTAAACACCACCATCATCACCACCATCATCACCACCACCATCTTCATAACCATCATCATCACAAGGCTAATAACAAGAATATCACAAGGCATGATAAGATGATCAGCAAGAGTCATAAGGTTAAAGTCAAAGAGAAGACCATCCATGTTCATAACACCACGGCAAATATCAAGGAAGGTAGGTTTATTTGAAATATGTTAAAATCACTACCCTACTGTGTATCTCACTATATGTGCATAGGATACGGTATCATATCGTCAAAGCTACGTGTCCTTCCTCTCTCTAGGAAAAAAACTTGTTTTGTTTTCGTGTCAAAACATTCAGGAATGTGACTACATTCCTACGCTTATTACTGCTAAAATGTCAAACTATTATTAGCTAATTTCGGAACAATATCTTGCAGATCACGATTACACGACGTCAGCAATGTAGTAGTATTCCTGAAAGTTTTAACACGAAAATACCATACCATACCATAATACCAACAAAAACACATAATACCCTACTATACCAAATCATACCTTACCATTGTACAGAAATATTTTTCTCAAAACAATATACGTTCTTTGTAGCACAATCCTACTGTCCAAGAATGTTCGGCTGTCAACACAGTTGTACTTACTTGCCTGACATTGGCTATAAATGTACTTGTCCTTCTGGGCTAACCCTGGCATTTGATGGAAAACATTGCATCAGTAAGTTATGAAACCTCTCCGTTTGTGCTGACAATGTTGTCTTGTTAGTTACAGACATTAGGGATTAGATCCTCAATGGACCATTTGCATTATAGACTACATTTTGGTGTAGACAAAAATTTCATCACAGCTTGAAAGAGCATCACAAAATTAGTAATATTCCAAAGTTTCCTTAGGGAAATGTTGTAAAATGCGGATAATATAGCCTTGCGAAATTTGCAATTTTCAGTCATTTTGTATTACAAACGGGAAATCGATGCCCCAACACCCGATTGGGCTGTCAATTTCCCGTGCGTAATAGAAAATGACTGAAAAACAGCAAACTTCGCAAGGCTATATTATCCGCATTTTACAACATTTCGCAACGAAACTTCGGAATATTACTAATTTGGTGATGCTCTTTCAAGCTACGACTTGGCAGTCTAGACTTGTCTAGATCAAAATTTAGTACAATGCAAATGGTCCATTGCTTCTATAGCTAATTTTCATATATCAGGATTAACGGAAAATTAAATTGTGGACTAAATTGAAGCATATTTCAATGCTGTAAGCAGGGGAATGTTGGTGGCTGGGTGATTAGTGCATTAAGTACATTTTCCCCACAGATGCGTGTAAGAAACGTGCTTTGTAAGAGACGTGCTTTCAATTTGACTCTATTCCAAACCTCTCAGCTTTTCACCAGTAGTAACACTGGCCCAATAAGAAATGACACTGTACCTCCACGAAGAATAGAGAAGTTCAGATTTGAATTCCGCTTCCGCTACGATTAACCAATCAGATGCGTTCAACCTAATCGATTAATATACCAACAGATGTGTATTGGGCCAGTGAGAGGAAGTGGTAGCATTAGTGGGGGTCAAATCTGAACTTCTGTATTAACGCAGTTTGGACAAAAGCTGAGACGAGAGCTATCTACAGTATATGACAAGTAAAGTATGTCAGGTCATCATATATTTAGGATCTCGCGGTGGTTTATACATAACAATTAAAATTTTGACAATACATTTTGAATCTGTTGTCTCTACCCTCTTGTATACGACACTCACCTAGTCTTTCCTTATTCAAGAAAAACATGATACAATTCTTATTAAGCTAAATGACAATGCCGCACTTGTAATGAGTACCTTAAATAAGTAGAATATTCTAATTCTGTACAAGGTGACCTCACTATAAAGATAAGCCTTACCGGTTTCATGAGGTCCCCTTGCCTTTACTACTACAAGTTATTATGTGTAAACTTAATATTTGTGGCAAATAAATGTATCTTGTTATTCTTGTATCTTGTATCTTGTAATGTAATTCCTTTCTCTGTAGAAAGTAACAACTGTGTGTTTGGGTGGCATCGTTGTCAACAAGTGTGTGTACAGTTACGAGACAGATTTCGATGTGAATGTAACTCTGGATATTTTCTCAATAAGGATGGTCGGCATTGCGATGGTAGGTGACAAATTTCGTACCGAACGCCTGTTTGCGTGTTGTTTTTTTTAGATGAAACATTTGAACGCAAATTTATATACACCTTAGAACTATCGACCCTTTGGCAAGAATCGATGCCTAAAAATCTCGATATGATGATCTCTCAAATTTTTTTCTGAATTTTCAGACATCGACGAGTGTCTACTGGGTATTGGTAAATGCAGTCAGCGTTGTGAAAACATACCAGGAACTTATGTTTGTAGATGCAAGAAAGGATTTTCGCTCAAGGCGGATAATAAGACTTGTCAAAGTAAGAAATTTTGTGTCGTTTGCTTTTTCGGAAAATTTGCGTGAGTTTTGCATGAATACTTTGCATATTGAATTTTGAGATTTGGGAGAGTACATGCAGTTATTTATTATTTGCTTGACAAAATTACTGGATTCTAATTAATCGAGAGGAGTACAATTATTTCATAACTGTAATTCAGTATAGGAGTGAGGCTTGGGGATCTATTTGAGCAAAAAATATTAAAAATGGCGTCCCAACAGGAGTGAATTTTTTCCACCTTTTTCTCATGAGTTCGATCTATTAATATAATAGGAATATTTGGAAAGAAAAAGCAGTAAGTGTCCAGAATTAATGTTCTAGAAGAAGAAAATGCCTAATTTATTGCTATTTTTAATCATAGATAATCATGTCCATTCAGCAACAACGAAGAGCCATTTGAATAAAAATATTTTGACAGGTATGTTCAGATGAGAGTTACTCTGAGTTAGTCATAACTTTGTCCCAGTGAACATTTAATAATTATTCGCCTCAGGCTCGGTGATTATTGGGGAATATTCACCTCGACTTTTGCACAAGTTTTTTTGTGTTTTTCTGGTCTGAATTCATTTTAATTTCGCTTATTTTTTATCACTAACTTCAACAAAACGGCTAGCCGCCATTTTGAAAATTTCGATTTTGTTATAACAGATTAATACGTCAAATTTGACCAATCACCTTGCAGGATTTGTTATGTTCACTTGTGCGAAAATACTAATTACTGTTAATCATTTATAATATATTAAATTTGAACTCAGTATATTAGACAACCATACGCGCATTTTAAAACATTTTGAATTGGCTAGGGCGTAGGGTAGAATTGGGAAAATTAACATTGTGCACTAAATGAGAAAGTAAAAAACTCGATAAAATTTGACCCATTGAAATACTCTCAATAATCTGATCATCTTTTTTTGTCAGCCCCAGTGGAAGTCGCAGTCCAGTTTTCTGAGATGAAAGTCCTTCAAGGTCAAAAGGCAATCCTAAATTGCCGCGCACGTGGCATACCTGCGCCAACGATAAAGTGGGCCAGCGGAGATGACGGTGCTTTTCCACTCCCTCCGAATTCTCGATTCAAAATATTTCGTGGAAATTCCTTGCTTATTGAGTCTACGAACATCAGTGACAGCGGAACATATTATTGCATCGCATCGAATATTTTAGAAAGCAAATCCAGGTCAGTAGCGATTATGGTGGCTTTTAATAAGCTTTCAGCAGACGTGGTCAGCTTAGGAAATATTTGCGCTTAATAGGAGTAGGAAAATTAAACCTGATCTTCCAATCCTAATACAAATATAAATACAATATAAATTTATTTAGATCCTCCTCGGAGGGCTTTTCAGGTCTAATTACAGTTTCGTTTAAATTACATGGTTTAAAAAGATATAAGAGAAGAAGTTATTTTCAAGTTATAGTAAAAATGCAATACAGAAAGATGCATAATGGCGCTCACATTTGCGTCCAACTTCTCCAAACACACGGCATTGATGCATGACGGTGCTTAGTGGAGTCCATGATGCTGACCCTAAAGTGTATATGAAAGCCAGCAAATGACTTTCAATTAAACAACTGTTAGAGTTTAGGGGCTTTAAGTACGCACTGTAACACGACGACGACAGCTTAAACAATCTTCGTTAAATGAAATATTGCAAATATTCCACCTAGTGCATGCTTATAAATACTATATACTAAATTCTGCCCCCAATCCTTGAACTTTATTCTAACCCTTATGAACTAAATTTATCCTGAACCTTATCGTAACCTGACAATTCCTATGTCGAATTCGTAACCTGACAATTCCTAATTCTAATTCCAGTTCTAACCCAAACTTCTCCACCAAAATTATTGTGATGTAATTTTTAGTCCCATGCATTTACTAAACCGTCATGTTTATTTCGAAATCTAGGTCAGTGAAGTTGGATATTATGGATGATGATGAATGTCAGAGAAAAAAGAATGATGTCTGTCAGCATCAGTGTTTGAACACCAAAGGAAGTTACCGCTGTTCTTGTCACCATGGTTACAGATTGCATCACGATGCTCATACTTGTGAGGGTAAGTTGTTTGGAGAAGTCGAGATGCTTGTAAACATTGTCTGTTAAATGTTTGCCCTTTTTTGGTTCTTCAAGATATTTGACCCTTCATTTCCATAAACTTGTGATAATGTGACGCTTAAATTAAGGTAGGAAAGTGATATTCAGTTTGACTCAACGAGACATGAATCTGTTGTTAATGCTCATCAACTGGACTCTGTAGCTCAGTTGGTTAGAGCGCTGCACCATACAATGGCAGGGCCGCAGGTTCGATTCCAGCCAGTGAAGGTTACCTCATTAGATCCAAAAATGTGTATAAATTTCTATTCGAAAATTCCATCTATACAAAATCCCATCTAACATAAGTTCTATCGTACAAGCATGGCCGACAATCTCGATATTTTCCCTTATAACAACTAGTTTGTCAATATGTATTCGTGTTTACTTTCAGATGTGAATGAATGCAATCAGTCCAATCACACATGTTCACATACCTGTAACAACACGATGGGCAGTTTTATATGTTCATGTCCAGATGGCTACCAACTTGACCATGATGGCCACAACTGCATAGGTAAGTAGCCGAATTTATATTAGATACGAGAAAACCAGAGGACTTACAATTGCATTTTTCGCACCTGTTCCTGGTAGGTCTAGTCAATGTGTATAAAATTTTCATTCGATAGTTTCCATCCACAACACTCTTCAATTATTTTGAATATAACTTTATCTCGTTTTCGTAACTTTATGTTCTCATTTTCCTGACTTAGATATAGATGAATGTTCTACATCCTCCCACAATTGTTCACAGCTGTGTCAAAATACTGAAGGAGGTTATCAATGTTCTTGTGTTGAAGGACACCATCTATCGTTGGATAATAGAACCTGCCATTGTAAGTATGCAATCTACATTATAATAGCAGTTGAAATGGCCGCTGCATGTGTGAACTGGAATCAAGAAGAAGCACTGAAGCTAATTGTCGAATAAAAATCCATAAATACTTTTCGAGATTAAACAGTATCTCTAACTTTTAGTTCTATGTTCTAAGTTTAAATGAAACACATAAATTTAAAGTATTAAATATAACTTATTTAGACAGTACAGTATATTCAAGCCATTGCAAACAGTCGATAAGAATTTGTGTTTATAGATTGCTACTGTTTATAGATTCACACTGTATTTTTCATCTTACTTTAGCTGAAAAATCGTCTTCGAAAAAGGTGAAACACGCCTCGATGACAAAAGCAATTGGCGCGTTGGTTGCCGTGGTAACAGTCAGTATATTGTCCATGGCTGCAATCGCAATGCTTCTTGGGGGATTTTACAAAAGCAGGAGGAAAGTCAGTTTGGATGAACAAACAGATGAGGATAGTCATGCTTTGAGACCTGTAAGTACCTTTCCTAAAATATCATTATTTTATAAAAGTTATCAACTAGATGATGTCTTCAGCGCACACAAAACAATGAATTCGAGGCTGATAGTGCGCCCAACCTAAATTTCCAGGTTAACCCAGAAATAACCCTAATTTTATGGTTATTTTATCTCACTTCCTACCATCGTCTGTTTAATGTATCCAAGAATCTGGTTATATTTTTTCTGGTTAATTTGACTGCATATAAGTTTTTTTATTTGGTTATTTCAAGTTAATTCATGTTGCTCAGAACTTGTCTAGTCAGGTAAGTAACTTGACGTAACGTTTAATTTGCTGTCGGTAGCAACCGAATGAGCTATTGTGCATGTGATTTGGAGAATTTTATCGACATTTACCATGATTCTTTAAATTTAATATAAAGATTCGACCTTTCACTCAATAGCTTAATTCTTATGTTAAACCAGATAACTGGGGGTTCAACAACCTTGAGCCTTAAAGTAAAAGCCTATATACACTAAGGCAGTGCTAAACTAGAACTGTTAAAATAACTTTCATATGGGCAAAACACAAAAAATAAATTAATTGTGAAAACTTCAATAAATAAAAATCTAAATTTAATTTTAAAATAAGACCTAAATATCAACCAGTTCGAAATAAATATTAAGGTTACGAATTCATAATTTAAATATATTTTATTCTATTCAATAGGGAAGTAAAACTGCTCTTTTTTCCTGGTTGGAATAAAAGAATCACTGTTTAAAGACGAAAGTTAACTTAGCATTTTAAAAATTTATAGGTCCATCTTTTTACTAGCTTAATTTTTGTAATTTTGTAATATTCTAAAACACAGTAATAACAGAGTCGAACTAATTTTTGTAAGAAAACTGAAAGAAATTAGGTTGAATAAATGTAAGAATAGTTAAAATATAATTACTATATTAATAAATAAATAAATAATTTATCGAAAATGGAAATTCGAACACATTAATTTACCAAAGGGTTTGGGGCTGTCAATTTCCCGTTTGTAATCTAGAATGACTGAAAATTGCAAACTTCGCAAGGCTATATTATCCGCATTTTACAACATTTCGCAACGAAACTTCGGAATATTACTAATTTTGTGATGCTCTTTCAAGCTGTGATGAAATTTTTGTATACATCAAAATTTAGTCTATTACGCAAGTGGTGGCCAATTAATAACCTCGATGTCATCTAACCAGTTACAACACTTAAGGTTGTTAGGATGGTTGAAACACACTTGACGCTCCACCTTTCAATCTTCGACTGTGGGATGCGATCCGTAGGGATGGGCGATACCAGCTTTTTCATTCGATACGATATTTCCTCGATATTTGCCAGGGTTTTTTCGATATTGATACCGATATCGATATTTTCCCAACTCGAACAATCATAACAACAACAAGACTATTTTTTACAAGATAAACATTGAATAAGATATGTCAGTGATTGCAACCAACATAACCAGAAACTCCCATCCTGCCCGTGGACCATTATAGCACCATAGAAAATGAACTGCTTCTATAGTATTTACGCCTATTTAGGCTTTTTGGTATAATTTTAATGATCAGGCCGCTGACCAAAATGAAAAATATATCGCAGGCGCAGAAATATCGAAACATCGATATTTCTTGCCAGAATCGATACAACCTCGTTCCCAGGCTCTTCCGTCTTGTGGAGGAAAGACCCTGTCTGGAGCTGGTCACGTGAGCCATAAAAATTGATAGCCTAAGCGGGGGATGGGAAAGTCTCACATTACATGTTTCCACTTCCGCACTTCACACTTCGTTTGCAAGGAGTGGCCGTTCTGTATAATCATCTTTGATAATCATATATACTTCTAAACGCTTGCTAAATTGTGTGCTTCTAAATTCATACAAACATGCTAAAATGCAGATTCTTATAGCAACAGACCAGTCAGAAATCAAGCAACGAAAATGTATGATCGTATGCTTTGAAATATTTGCCCTTTTATTCTCTCGGGGTTCGAGCGCAGTTTCATTTCACGCGTACGTTTCTGTTCTGCCTCTGCTTCAGATATTTGTAATATTCTTATAATATGTCATTGAAATGTTGTCATATGGAAACGGTATAAATTTTGTTACTGTAAATAGAGGTCTCAAAAGCGACTGTGTAGGTCGTAGTGCCTTGCTGGTCTTACAGCAAACGTTACACATTTGGACACTAGCCAAATAGACATCGGATGTCCATTCTATTGATTCTAAAAAATGTTTACAGACATATTGCTCTGGAGTCTGGATTTTTTTAAAAATGTTATCGTTTATATTAAACACCACGATTTAAAATGACAACCTATAGTTCTTAACCTAAAATAATAAGAAAAAGATTATACATTTTCTCTACTTTGCATTCTAATTTTTCACTACTTCTGAGGCTATGTGGTTTCCAATATCTCTTGTACTAGCGTCCAAATTAGCTAGATAGCAATAAGAATGTTTTCTATGTACCGGATTGTCCACATCAAAGAGGTTCTTTTCATTAATGTGTACCACAGTATCTTGCTTTACATCGAGAAGGACGGGCAAGTTTGTAGATATAATACAAACCACAATTAATAACCTCGATCCTTTGTCTCCAGTTGCAGCAGGTGACACCATGACTGAAACACACTACACGACTGACCTTCCCGTCTTCGACTGTAGGATGCGAAGATGTCATCCAACCGAAGAAATCACCTTGACATCTATGACCTACACTAGTTGGACACCTACTCGCTATTTTCACGCCAGCACTTCCACCGAATCTGTACCAGCCAGAAAGGTTTGTGTCACATAAGAGATTGCTCGTTGTGGAGTGTTCCAAGTTTCTGTTGCTTTCTCTCAACCACTTGTATCCAAGACATTCTTTATGATATCCGAAAACTAGAGAAAGATAAAACGACATTAAGAATCATGCATGAAGTTGCGGTCCTGATTTATCTGTTGAGGTTAATGCGTTCCATGCGATGATAATGCTATGATTACATGCGTATATTAACGTTTGTCGTTCACATGTAGGCTAGTAACTGAGTAAATTGACATGTAATAATGTAATCTTCGACTAAATTGAATTCACGCGAACAAACATTTCGACACTCCAGTCCAGTGTCTTCATTAGAGGTGATCTAAGTCACTAGGTAACACCACTGTGAAGTCTGGCTTTACAATTATTACTGTTTCTATTACTGCAAAGTAGCACAGTCATTAACCATACTAGCATTGTCGCAGGCAGAAGACACAAAAAGCACTTAATTACTCATTGGGAGAGATTTTTTTCGATTTCCTTCATCATGGTTTCCAACTGGGTTATTCTTTTATTAACCTAAACACAACAAAATATAAATTAATCGTATACGCCATATTCTAGAAGTTCACAAAATATATTATTTGCAGTGATAATTAACAACCTGGACTTACGAATCGAAAGTACGATCGGATGATCGAGTGCAAAGCTTTCTAAGGGCGCATATAACAGCAACTTTGACTCGCCATCACGTTGCACAGCTACGATGGAAGGGTTACTTCTCAGGGAAAATCCTAAAACCAACTCTGTCAACATTCCCTGCAGAAGGAAACCGGAGTACCCGGGGGAAACTCACGACTTTCGGCAGAACGTTGACTAACGTTTCTTACCGATGGCTATTATAAGTCGTCCCAAACTGGATTTGAACCCACGATGTCAGAGGTGGAAGGCGCGCGCTCCGATGATTGCGCCATTGATAATCAACTGTTAAGTTGAGCATGTGTATATAGGTTGTACATGTTGATGTGTAATGAACGTTAATGAGGCGAACTATTGAATTATTCCAGAATATTGTTAATTTATTAGTACGTAAAAATTTGAAGTAAAGAAAAAACGTAAGACTTAAAACAGTATTACGTGATTTAAGTAGTATTAAAAACAGTTTAATTCATAAATTTGAGCCTTTATTAGAAGTCAAAGTACATAGTATACCAAAACAAAATGAGCTATTCTTCAGCGCAATTTCCGGGAATGCTTTGCTAAAACGATGAGTTTTAATTGTCTTTTTATATTTAACCATGCAAACTCTCAAATTATTAACACATTTGTGCACATAATCAGTAACAATGAATTTAACGTTACAATGAATTTTACTAAGGAAAACATTGGCCTACCTTCTCCTCTAAGACAATTGCATTCCATGTTTTGTTCGATCTTACATAAAGTTCTTGCATGTCTTTCCGATATTCCAACAAACCATCAATGTCAGGCACCTTCTGTGCGGTTGTGTTGTCTGGGACGACTACAATCTGTATTAGGGAAAATTTATTATGAATTATTCACTTACTTTGCAATGTCTTATTTTTACGAATAGAAGATTATTGTTGAATATATATATATATATATATATATATATATACTCACCCCATCGTGTAGTAGAGCTGAGGCTTTATTGCAACGACCCTAAGGTGTCAAAAAAATTGTAATAATTAAATAAGCCTACTAGTATTAACATTTTATTGTATAAGGGGGTTACGGTGGCGCAGTTGTCAGAGCTTCCACTTCTGAGATCGTGGGTTCGATTTTCTCTACGGACTCATGTGAAAAGAGTCAGTCAACCGGCTCTGCTGTCAAAGTCGTGGGTTTTCTCCTGGTGCTCCGGTTTCCTCCCACAGGGAAAGTTGACAGGGTGGGTTAGGATAAACACAGTTAAGAAAGTAATTAATATATCACAATTGTTGTAAAGGTAAAATAATCTAGGCTGAATATGTAATTAGGTATAAACGTAATACTTGATGTAAAGCGCATTTATCATATTCACACGTAAATTTGCGCTATAGAAATACGAGTTTTAATCTTTAGTTTTAATCTTATATTAAAGAGATATTTGTATAGGTAATCATGCGATGGCGAGTACAATTAGGGATTAATAGTACAAGTGATGTTTGGAAATTTTGCCAAAATTGGACGAGCCGCCTGGGCGAGTCCAATTTGGCAAATTTCCAATCATCACGAGTGCTATTAATCCCTAATTGTACGAGCAACATCGCATGATTACTTGTTTATTATTAGCATGACAAAATTGGATACGTACTTCTCAATGTCAACATATTCTCTCGCCAAAGCCCAGTCCTGCTAGACTTTCAACCAAAATTTGGTGCTTTTGTTTGTATTTTCATTTAGTTCTTTTGTTCAAGATAAGACAATCTTTGCAGTTTGTTTCACGCATTAATCTTCTCCCCCTCCCTTCTCAATCAATCAGTTGGGAATCAACTGCACGCATCAAATAAAACAGGCGCAACATTGAACATTGAGCGGGGAGATACTCAGATACAAAATTCAATAATTTTGAAGTTTGTTAAAGTTATAAGTATTTAAGGCAGCTGCCCCAAAGCACTTGAAAATGATTGTAGGTATTAATCTATTTAGCATGTGTGGTTTTTTCTTCTTTTTGAAGGAAAAAGTAACTACTAGATACTTATATGTTGTCATGAATGGCAATCGGCAAAAGCTAGTGAGTAGTGTGAACAGCGATTTAGGAAAATTTTACCTCAATAGGAACAACATTGTGTCCAACCAACTTGTACGAGATCAATTTCCCGTCATTTCTCTTCACTTGATAATCCATACATTTTTTCCAAAGTCTCTTAGGAAGACTGGATCGCACCCAAAACCAAGTAAACACGTTCTTGGTGACTACACCACCATTTATGGCGTTACAATTCTGCGCGCAGTAATTTTTGGTCCCTCCCGCTGGACCGTAACAACCACAACACTGACAATATAAAGAACGTATTCATTAGCTGAATTCATATTAGAAGACGGATTTCCGTCTAAGACGGGAAACTCGTGTGACGGATTTCCGTCTGGTATAAATATGAAACGAAAACCATCGGACGGATAAACCCGAAAAAATAGGAGATCCTCCATCCCAGTCTCTTTTGAACGTCACGAGCAGAAACCCGTCTTGATTTATTCGTCTGATATAAATTTAAGACGGATTTAAGACGGATTTCCGTCTAAGACGAGAAACTCGTCTAACTTTCCCGTCGTTCAGACGGGAAAGTTAGACGGAAGAGTTGAGACGGAAAACCCGTCGTTAACCGAATTTATATCAAGACGAGTTTCTCGTCTGAGACGGAAATCCGTCTTCTAATATGAATTCGGCTATTGTATTATAAGTCTCACTCAGAAATAGATAAATTTTAATGTATTAAAAAATACACCAACCAAAAATAAGTAATAATTGTTTTTGTTTGTGGAAACACCACATAAATTTATTACTGCAAAGCTTTCGATCCCACAAACAAAAACAATTATATTTTATCGCCATGCAAACATTCAAAGATCAAAAATAAGTAATGGAAGACTTACTTTTAGTCGAGCAGTCGCACTTAATATAGTGGAGTTTGGATATATATTAAAACTTATAAGTTGTTATTTTGTAATTTGCTAACAAGGGGTTAGTGCTGATGTAGCTTTAAACAACCGGCTCCTTTGTGTCTTTCCAAGCAACTGTATGTTTTATTGGACATAGGTGGTCGGCCAGAGCTGATTTCCTCCAAGGTTAAAACTGTTTTTGGTGTTCTTTTGACCGTGTGCCTAATTCTAATGTTACTTACATGACCGTTGTCACATCCAACAAATGCAGTTGAGTTGTGTTCCATTCCAGATATACTTCCAGTGGTGCTAAAACTGGTTGAAATAAACCATGATTGTAAATATAAATTGGTCTCGTCCAAAGTTGGTCTCATGCAAACGAACTTGTTAAATAATTTAGACATGCGATTTTCCATAATCTCATTTTGTTTATGAAAAGAACTTTTGTATAGACAATATAGTTATATCATTTCATAGAATAGAACAAAGATTATCACAATACTCGCCATTACTTCATTCTAATCAGTACTTCGTTACTTTGTGTCATTCAATGCTTTCGTGGACTGGAATAGTTAGGGTTACTAGGCACGTCACTTCATGGATAAATCTTTCTTTTTGGGCGGGAGTCAGATATATATTACCTGAATGGTCCATAGGTATCCGTTTGAGCACTCTTTACCAGCGGATGAAAAGCAAAGCCAAACGGACATGACTTTTGCAAACATGAATTCATCATAGCCTATAAAAATGCAAAGATCGTATGCATTGTAACGCAAACGTCTGAAACTGATTAAGTTCGGGTTAGTAAGTGAGTAATCTTTATTTATACACAGAAGCATGTCATCACAGATACTCTTCCCATGTGCGAGTCGTTTCAATTTCCATATTAATTTCCATTTGATAGAGAGACTTGCGCTCGACAACTAGCCTCTGTAGCTCAGTTGGTTAGAGCGCTGCACCGGACTCGCGGGGTGGCAGGTTCGATTCTTGTCAGAAGGCATATAGTTGCATTTTGATTTGCATTCCCTTCAACTTCCAGTGAAGATACCCTCTTTAGCTTTAAACTGTCTGTCTTTACAATCTTAATTCCTTATCATTAAAGGAATACCGAATGGTTTTCCGTGCAGGATTGCGTGTTCCATGCACGAGGAATGTCGCGAGACTTTCGGAAAGCGCAAAAATACTCGAGCCGCAGGCGAGTGTATTTTTACGCTTTCCGAAAGTCGAGCAACATTCCAAGTGCATGGATCACGCTGTCCTGCTTGGAAAACCATTTGGTAATTGTTTTATAAAATAACTACAGTGAAACAATGACATTTTGAGAATCCCGCGAAAATCCCGCGAAGGCATGTTAATTCCTCGTGCAGGATAGCCTGATCCTCATGCACGGCTATCGACCAATGAAATTGCGTGTTTCACTGTAGTTATTATATAAAACTCTATTCCCAATCCGTATCTTATCTCCAAGCTTACTCCAAATCTTACTCTAATCCTAACCCAAATCGTGACACTAATTCTTTTGACGTTTTTTGGAATGGGATAATGGAAGGCCGAGAGCAGGCATTGCGTCATCATCAAATGTTTGGTATACTTACCCATCCAAATTTAAGTACAATATGATGAGCGAAACCAAATTTTGAACATCGTAACTTTGTAGAGACAATTTTCTCTGTTTGCAAGTCTTTGACATAAGCTATGTTTCCAATTCCTGCAGATCTTTGATCACATCCGTCGGCTGTTGTCATGAGATTCTTCAACGGACGTTGTGACTGAAGTCTAAATGACCTACAGATTGACGGTCAAAATTTATCATCACCAAGGCAAAACTAACTCGAGAGGTTTTCATCACCTCAATTGCGCTGGAATCGTTAATAGAAAAACTCACTCGCGCAAGCTTTTTTCCTTATTGAGAGCATGCTCATGCTCTTTTGGGGGTGGTAGATACGGTGTAGAGCGCGAGGAGGTTAAGCTTGGTACTATATTTTTGATACGGTCAGAACGCACCATAAAGCAAGCCTGCTAGTAGGGTAACGTCGATATGTTTGAAAAGTCAACCATATTGCTTTATTTTGGTCTCATGACGATACGGAATACTTGTGTTATAACTTGCTTGGTTGTTGGAGCCAAAACGAGTACAGTGCTCGATGCGGGAAATTCGCAGAGCTTAATATGTTGTTCAAAATGAAAAAAATTAAAAATAAAATATTTAAAAAAATTTAATGTGCTGCTACTTCAGTTTCACGTATTACCGATCGTCAGACAGCAATAGATTATGGTGCACACGAGCTTTATATACTAAGCTACCGTGCTAATTACATAAGTCCAGTCTAAATAAAACCTGCCTCTGTGAAAAGCTAGACATTATGCCTCTGTGAAAAGCTAGCCATCTTGAAAGGACGAAACGCACGCCTCTTGAACACACGAGACGAACTTGTCTCCAAGTGTAGACATGAAAACAAATTTTACATACAAAATTATAAGAACGAGATAACATAAATTATTTGCTCGAGAGGTTTTAACAACTACGTATAGACTTTAAGTAGGTTTTGAATTAATTTACTAAGTTTTAAATTTTAAATCAGTTTATTTGAACACTCGCATAGATCCCAATAGGTTTTATTTAGACTGAACTTATGTAATTAGCACGGTAGTTTAGTATATAAAGCTCGTGTGCACCATAATCTATTGCTGTCTGACGATCGGTAATACGTGAAACTTAAGTAGCAGCACATTAAATTTTTTATTTTTTTCATTTTGAACAACATATATATATATATATATATATATATATATATATATATATATATATATATATATATATATATATATATATATATATATATATATATATATATATATATATATATATATGTGACAAACAGAACGGCTACGTTTGAAGAAGTTTATTAAAAAAAAGTTATATTAAATACAAAAACTAAATTTTCGGCTGCATGCCACAGCCTTCTTCAGAGTGCCTATAGCTTTACACAGAACATACTTATATACAATAAATTATGAATAAATTACTATTGTTGGGCGAAATCATGACTACCATTAAGGCCTTTCCGGTTGGTCAACAACATTCCTATCCAAAAGTTTTCACTCTTAAGTACTTCACTATGGTGTTGGTCAATAAGCATAAATTTAAGCTCGAATGATCCGCCGTAATTCCTGTGTTTTTGTTACCAAGTTTAATCCCAGTGCTCCTGATATTCAAAAAAATTTTCGTAAACATCGCTCTGTTTTAGATAGTGATGAACAGGCTAAAAAAATTCTACCGGAGGGTGCCATTCTTGTTTCGTATAAGCGTAATGCCAATTTGAAGGAGTTATTAGCACCATCTAACCCATATAAGCCCAATAAACTGGAAGGTGAAGGCTGCTACAAATGTGATGCCAAGCGCTGTGATAGTTGTAAGAACTTTTTGATTTTTGGCAATTCCTTTCGTGCAGCTGCCACTGGAAGGATATTTCTCAGTTTAAAATCTTTGACGTGCACTTCCAGTAATGTAGTGTATCTTGCTGAGTGTGTGCTTTGTGGTTTGCAAGGTGTTGGCTCTACGGCCAATTTTAAGTCCAGACTAGCTAACTACAAATCACACATTAAGCATAGCGCCGGACATGCAGTATAACTAATCATTTTATTGATGTGCATGAGGCGGATCATTCGAGCTTAAAATTTATGCTTATTGATCAACACCATAGTGAAGTACTTAAGAGTGAAACCTTTTGGATAGGAATGTTGTTGACCAACCGGAAAGGCCTTAATGGTAGTCATGATTTCGCCCAACAATAGTAATTTATTCATAATTTATTGTATATAAGTATGTTCTGTGTAAAGCTAGGCACTCTGAAGAAGGCTGTGGCATGCAGTCGAAAATACTGGCATTTGTGACATATATATATATATATATATATATATATATATATATATATATATATATATATATATATATATATATATATATATATATATATGCTTTTATATCCTATTCAATTCATTAACATAAATTACCCAAAATCCCTTACATTTAATCCCTTAGGTGCAAAGGTGTCCAAATTATATGCCCAAAATCCCATTCTTGGCGTAGTATCATTCATATTTGTTTTGTCAATAATAATAACTCTGGGATTGGCCAAGCCCTCGTGTTCCTCGCCAAAAAAATGCGCATACAAGTGCTCGCCAGCCATATGCCTGATCCCTTGCCCATATTTCCTAAGAGAACTCTTATGGTTGTTAAACCTCTTCCTAAAAGTTGTTATAGTACTACCAACATAAACCTTAAAACACCTAGCACACTTAAGTAAATAAATCACCCCTATCGAATCACAATCGAAGGAATAATTTATCCAGTAAGTATGCCCATTGTGTTCAAACTTTTGTGTTTCCACTACAAAATTACAGATCTGACATCTGGCTTTGTCGCACTTTTTCATTCCCTTCCCCTCAACATTTACCTTTTTAACCTTAGATCTAATAAGATTATCTGCCAAATTTCGTGGCCTTCTAAACGAAATCAAGGGCTTCATATCACCCAAAATTTCCCTCATACCCTTCCGAAGCTTGCAAAACAGGCCACAAAGAATTAACTACCTCACCAACCCCCGATAATGCAGGGTGGAAATTCAAAACCAAAGGCAACATATTTGACTTTAAATCTTTTTCTTTCCTGTGAAACAGCAAAGCTCTTCTGTCATTACTCTTAGCCCTCTCAAATTGAGAGACTATTTGACGTTCTTTAAATCCTCTATCACACAGATGTTTTTTCAACTCCCCAACCCGTTGATCAAATTTACGTTCCGAATTACAAATACGCTTTAATCTTAATGCCTGTCCATACGGAATAGCCTGTTTTACATGTCTCGGATGGCATGAACTAGATTCCAAATACTGGTGAGTATCCGTAGGTTTCGAATACACATCAGTAAAAACACTACCTCCTACATCTTTGGAAATGGTGACGTCCAAAAATGAAACTTGATTCATAGACCAATCCCATGCAAGTGTACTTAATTGTGTTATGGTAAGAATTAATAAAATTTAGAAATTCCCTCAATCTTTGCTCACCATGCAACCAAATGAAAAATATATCATCCAAAAATCTCTACCATATCCACGGTTTCCAATCGCATTCCTGCAACATTTTTGTTTCGAGGACATACATATTAAATATATTAGCAAAAGCCGGGGCAAACTTTGTTCCAATAGCTGTACCCTGCCTTTGCCAATATATCTCCTCATTAAACTCAAAATAGTTATTTTCTAAAATCATTTTAGCCATCTCAAGTAAATCAACCCCATCCCCAAACCACTCACTGAAAGTAGTTTTGTCCCTAAATTCTTCTAAAATTTTCCTCATACTGTCCAACCCTTCATCGTGTGGTATATGTGGATAAAGGCCCACAACATGTATGGTACCAAAAATTGCAGTCTAAGGGATATACCCTACATTTTCTAACTTCTAAGTAAATCAGAAGTATCTACTAAAACCGAAGGCAAACATTTAACAATAGGATTAATATGGTAATCCACAAACTCAGAAATACGCTCTGTGGGCGTCCCACAGTTCGAAACCACTGGCCTACCCGGAACATTCACTAATCGCTTGTCTATCTTAGGCAACAAATAAAATCTGCCTAAATTTACACTCTCTCCTTTTAGATACTTCCGATTTACCTCGGTTATCTTTCCTTCATGTGCCATTTTTTTTAACTTTCCATCAATGAGTGCAACTACTTCATTCACTGGATTAAAATTAATACATTCATAAACATTCTCATCGCTTAATTGCCTATACGCTTCATTATTTTATTCCTCTAAACCCCAAACCACTACGGCAGAACCTTTGAGATGGCTAAAATGATTTTAGAAAATAACTATTTTGAGTTTAATGAGGAGATATATTGGCAAAGGCAGGGTACAGCTATTGGAACAAAGTTTGCCCCGCCTTCTGCTAATATATTTATGTATGTCCTCGAAACAAAAATGTTGCAGGAATGCGATTGGAAACCGTGGATATGGTGGAGATTTTTGGATGATATTTTTTTCATTTGGCTGCATGGTGAGCAAAGATTGAGGGAATTTCTAAATTTTATTAATTCTTACCATAACACAATTAAGTACACTTGGGATTGGTCTATGAGTCAAGTGTCATTTTTGGACGACACTATTTCCAAAGATGTAGGAGGTAGTGTTTTTACTGATGTGTATTCGAAACCTACGGATACTCACCAGTTCACGATGGCCGGTTGCTATGCAGTTTGCTCCCGGATTCAAATTGC